GAAGAAGAGAAAACTCGCACAAGGGGTGGACGGGGGGGGGGGGGGGGGGGGGGGGGGGGCGGCGGAGAGAGAGGAAAGCCAACTGGAAATGAGCAGTAAACAGTAGGAATGTGTAAAAGTTTATTGAAAAGCCATCGACAACATCAAACAAAGCAACAACAGATGGAGGGGTGGGGGAGACAAAAAGAGGAAGAGCAAAAGCCAGAGAATCAAACGAAAAAACGCATAATTATGAAAGTATGCAGAGAGCGTGGGTTAACACAAAGCGTGAGCGAGAGGGAACGACGAGTCGTTGCGTGGGTGATACCCGTTAACTCTTTTTCAAACAATTTTTATTCTTCCTGGCTTACATTTTCCATGTTAATGGTATGCAAACACAAAACGAAAACCAAAAAGAGATGAAGAAAAACGCAAAGCGAAAAGTCAAAACTGGAGAAAAAACAGAAGCAACAGCAAAAACCAACAAAATAACGACAGGAAATACGCGCCATATACGAGCTAGAGAGAGACGGAAGGAAAGAAGACCGACAGAGGGACAGAGAATATTTTTCGCGCGATTTGCGTCAATGGGAAAAACAAAAAGGGAGCCAGGAACTGGAAAAGTCAGAGGCAAGTGGATATCATCATATTCATGGTGAATTTTTTGCAATTAAAACAAGGGGAGAAGAGGGATATAATAAACACAGTGCGAGGTAAACAAATCAACTGTAAATTCGCCAAGAATAAGAGAGCACGCCGCCACATGACCCCACACACATGCCAAAGAGAGACAGCAACAAGAACATGACGAATCGGCAACTAAATCACCATCAGAATGGTACACAAAAATGGAAGGAGGGGGGAAGGGGAGGCAAAGAGAGCGACGACACAGAAAATGAAAACAAAATTGTAAAAAGCCAACAACAAAAACACGCACACGCACATTACAGCGGAAGAAGATAGAGGAGGTGCGGAAGAGGAGACCGCAAAAAATGAAACATGGACTAACGTGTATTAATATAAGCATGAGGCATTACCGGAGAGTAAAGGGCGAGGGGAACGTCCGAACAAGAGAGGGTGGTTAGCCTCACCTTTTGTAAATACACCTTGCACGAGACCAAGTCGAAACAAACATATGAAACGGCAGAAGCAGACGAGCAACAGCAGAGCGACAATGAAATGCGGCAACAACGCATGAATATTGACATTGCGTTACCCTTCTCTCCAACAGCAGCAGCAGCAGCAGCAGAGGCAGCGTCAAACGGGGGCGGACGCAGGCGGTTCAATCTGCTTGCTGTTGTTGTTTGTCTGTCTTCAGTCGCGCCGTCGCGACGACGCTGCCGGCCTATGCATACATGAGGACAGCGCTGTTTGTGTGTGCAGCGCACACACACACACACAACTGCCGCCTCAGCAGAAACTGAAATTTCAAAGCAGCAGCAGATACAGATACAGAGGCATACGGGCGGCTCAAGACGAGGTCGCCGCCGAACAGTGTTAACACTGGCGAGCATGTTGAGAGTTTAAGGCGGAGTTCGACTTTGGCTTTAACAGGTCCAACTAGAAATTATAGGGGTATAGTAGTTCAGCCATCAATTACCACCTAATTCCCCACATATCCGATTAGATAGCGCACGTTTCATTTATTTTGCTGCACAGTGTACAAGTTCGAAGTTTGCTGTCTCTCCGTTTTCTGCCTCTACTTCTTCTTCGAAGTTGCTGCTGCCTACCCACATACACACACACACACACATACACTCTCCCATTTTTATGCTTGGGCTTGCATGTTCTCCTTCGTTACGTTCCGTTCATTTACAATTTACACCGCGCTCTTTCGCTCTACTATTTGCTTGCTCTCTTCTACTGCTGTTAGTGCTCTGTCTGGCGCAAATGTTTTTGCTTTCGATTCATTTGTGGCAAACCTTTAATTATTGTTGAATGAGATTTGGTTTTTTTACTTCTAGGACGATCAAAATTGACTAATTGCGTTTATTTTTCATGTTCTATTGGAAGTACACGTGTCACAGGCAGTGATCTCTCTCCCGATCGCTGCTTGCTGTAGTTGACAATGACGCAGATTACTTTTGCGGCCGGACGGGATCTTGTCAATTGAACTTGCATTGATTACAGCTAGAAAGAGAGAGCGCATCCAAATGGCAAATTATATGCCATTATCCGTACTGCAGCTGCATGTGTGTGTTCCTAAGTCTGTGTAAGCGAAACGACATCACTGATAACTTCTTGACATCGGGCTCGGGTCTGTCGCCAAGTCTCTCTCCTTCTTCCCCTCGCAGTGACTAAGTCAAAAGAACTACATAGCGAGATGGGGGGCGGGGTGTGCGGAAGAGCGTAAGCAAAGTGCATGCACACGGCACTGAAACAGCGACAGCAACAACAACTGTTGTAAAGCAAAGTGCAAAGTAAATGAAAAGAGAGACACACAAAGGCGAGAGGGACGAGCCACCGCCGACGCCACACGTGAATAATAATTGAAAAAGCAGCGAGTGCAAGTGAATAAGATAGATGGTAATTATGTGCTCTACACAATGTAAGTTAATGGGAAGGTGAGGCAGTGTCAAGAAGAACGGAGCCTCTGAGTGGCATCCAAACGAGACACAGCAGAGTAGCTTCACCTTCATATTAATTACCATTGAACGGGCCGTCTTACCCCTGCATTAATATGCCTCTCGGCTAAACACATGTCTGAGATGAGATACCTGCCAAGGGGTGAAAGGTTGGGAGCGAGAAAACTGGAATACAGCGTTATGATATAGGGAAAGAATTCCAATTAAAATGATTATATGTCTAGGAAATATGTATTTCCCAATAGAAAAATGGCAAATAAATATTAAAGATCGCAGCAAATGGGAAAGCATTTAAATCTATTTTTTTCTTTTTCTTCCACCACAAGCGTGTTTAGGTAGCGCCTTGCCGATCCGACAGGAAAATCCTTATCGCTGTCTGCCGCCAATGGAATGATATTCCAAGAAATTTAACAAAATAAACAGAAACAGCATGTGGCATGTGACAGAAGAATGGAATAGAGAATGGTATGGATAGACAGGTCAGAAGAAGAGTCGAAGGAAGAGTAGGAGTAGGAGTGAGTGAAGCAAAGCCAAAGGAGAGAGCATATAGATTTTGACACCTTTTCAGGTGTGAATGAGACGAAGAGCTGTCCTACTGTAACTGTTCTTCCATCTCTCTCTCGCTTAGCTGCTAGACATGCCAATAATGCTAATGAACGTAAAATGCGTAAATGAGAGAGCGGAAGAGCGGGGGAGCAATCACAGACATTAAACTGCTCCCTCCTCTCTCTCACTCTCTCTCTCGCTCTCGCTCTCATATAAGCACACACTGTCACTCCATCTCCTGGGCCACTCATCAATGTTCAGAGCACGTTCTCTGAATGTTTTTGGCGACGCAGGCAAACAGGAGGAGAAGTACATGCAGAGGACGATGAAGAATAGCACGAGGAGTGGTAGGAAAAGGAGCACATGTTGATGGAGAAGCAGAATAGCCATAACCACAAAAAAGCAATGAGGGAGAGGGAGAGAGAAAGAGCAAATGCCAATTTTGGCAAAAACAAGTGACAAACAGGACAAAAGATGGACGGAATGGCAAAAACAAGATTACTTCGAGCCCCCCCTCCGATTTCATCCACATCACAGAAAGGGGGGGGAGGGTGGAAAGGCCATCGCCATATTCATTCTAGAGAGTGTAGTAGTCATGTGTGTGTGTGTAGAAATTTTTCGGTCCAATAAGTCACACACCAACAACAAAATGAAAAGGCAGCCAGCCAGCAAACAAACAAACAAACAGAGAGGGAGAGAGAAACAGCATTCGAAATTGGCAACTGCCGGATACTTTTGTTGGCCAACTACTTGACTGGTTGACGTTGGCAACGCCGGCCATCGATACCAAAGATCATCATCATCGTGACCAGAACCAGACCAAAACCAGGCCCAAACTAGAGGCAGAACCAGCCAAAGGCTAGAGATGGTAGCAGACATCCACAGTCGCTTAAGCCATGAGAAAGTACTCATACTCCTCCTTTCTTGTCTCTATTTAATCGCTAAAATACAGATTAAGCTATGACTATGACATATACAACTCACTCTCTCTCTCTCTCTCTCTCACTGTAACACAAAAGTTCTGATGCTGCAATTAAAACTCCCTCCCGATGCACAGCACTCATCTGTCATCACTAAATGGGAGAACGGACTGGAGCCAAACGCCCATCAAAATGAGTTGGACTCGATGACCAATTTCAGATTTGCAGCCTTATTTGAACAGACAAGACCGACCACATCCCCATCCCCAGACTGAAGAGCGGCAGCCTTGTCTATGCCTCAATACAAATGAAAGGCTGTGCGTCTGTGTGTCCATGCATTTTCTACACATATTTATGCGTTCGCAATGCAGACGTTTTTAATGTCTTCTCTTTGGAAACAACAAAAACAAAAAAAAAGAAGAGCTGACCGAATGAACCGTCAGTTACCCTCTCAGGTCCGTATATCTGTTGGTTTTTATATGCTATGGTAATCCAATCTTAACGGTTCCTGGCTATAACGCTAATATATTTGAGAAATACTTTATTCTCGGCATTGCCAAGCCTTGAGTCAAAACCATGATACCGTCTCGAATAACAGGGTATAGTATAACAAGAGCAGACTGGAGCCAGAGCTCCACTTCATTATCTGCGTCATCGCTTGGCAGCCTCAAATTGCATCGAGTGCAATGCCTGCGAGACTTCATTGTTGCATCTATTGATTAAGTTCTTGCCGCACTCCCCTCAGTGCTGCCACTCTCTCTCTCGCTCTGACCAATTTTGCATAAGTTTCCTGTGAGAGACACAGAGAGAGTTAAAACCGCAAAAACCACCTAAGTGAAAAGGAAAGAAAGCAGTGGCTGATATGGGGGGAGGGGCAGATTCTCAAGGTGCGTAATGTGGGTGAAGGATAAACAGAATTAGAAGGAAGGAAGTGCACATCCGAAATTTATCCACAGGGGTTGAGACTTACCTGATCTACGGCATGGGTGGCGGCCACTAGAAGGCTCATCAGCAGTGCTGAGAGCATCAGGCATTTACCGTTGCAACGCAGCGAGTACGTCGCCGTCAGCGTGCTGGTCCTCTGCCTTGGCATCATTCTTCTCTCAGAGGTGTCGTGGGCGTCGGCGTCAACGTCGACGTCGCTGTCTTCAGATGATGGGAGCAGCGGCTGGAGAGATCTTCCAGTTTCTGTTTATTGATATGTGGAGGGGCGGGCGTCACTACACACACAAATATCACCACTATACACTATGAATATTACTCCGATTCACGATCTTGTTACGATCTTTAATAAACTGGTTTTACACTGCAAAATACACACATTTTAGAAGGCGCAATTGACCAAGAGAGCAACACTCGAGGATCGATTGATTAGATTATCAATCAAATTCCGCGAACGACACAGAGAGAGAGGAAGTGCGCGAGCGGCTAAAATCAAAGCACGCGTTGTGGGAAGAACAGGGCAGGGAAGTAAACAAAGCAAAGGGAGAGACGACCAGAAAGAGAGCGCTATAAACGTTTTCCGTCTGTGTCTCTCCTTGGGTGTTTGTTACAGTCGGTGGGTTGGTTTGGTGGTTGTGGTGGTGGATTTTGGCCAAAGAATTAAATTAAACATAAGCAATTAATACACCACACAAGAAATCTTTACTATTTCTCCGGAAATCGAAACTCTCAACCAACCATTCATTAGAATGAAACACTCTCTTTCTTGAGAAGCGCTCTTAACTTGATTTTTCATGGCGGCTAGCCGCCCACCACTACATCCACACTACACCATCCACAAAACCAGACACACAGCGCACACGGGCGCGCTCTCCTCTCTCTGTCACGTCACCCCCTCTCGCTCTGGCACAGGCTAACTACAGGCACGGCGGCTTCTTTATGTGCCTCTTCCTCTTCGCGTTGTTTGGCTTTGGTTATATTTTATTTATTTGATTGGTATATTTTTGGCTGACCGTTTTTAATTAAATATATTGCACAGAACACGCCGGGCGCATTTCCACAGATTCTCCACGCAAAATTACAACGCGTTTCGGCTATAAATTGTTCCAAAAATTTCTTTACACTCGTTGGATGGGGGGAAAAACACACACAGAGAGAATGCGCAATCACCGACCGACGACATACAGTAATTTTTTTCGAGTCCGTTTTACGCGTTCGTTTGGTAGGCAACGGAAATGTTTGAATGTGTGTGAATCACACATGCACACTGTACGCTGTACATGTGATCGCATGGTAAATCTATATTAGGTAGGGACAATTTGGCGAATGGCTGTAGTTTGATTTACCCAAAATTTCGGCAATGCTACAAGTATACTTATGTTCTTGTGTAATCCTGTTCTTGTTAGTTCTAATGCAACCAGATTATGATTAATTAGGTTCCATAAGTGGTGGCTCATGAGAAAAACAACTCGGGCAGTACCTATATAGGTACTATACCTTGCGACTGGCCGATGAGTTCGAAAATTCGAACATGCTGTCTTATTTTCGTTGCTTGATTTCAAATACTTTTTGCGTTTTTGCTGGTTTTAAAACCATGTTTGCTTGCCATAAAGCCGTGAAAATGGTCGATATTCCATTTCAAGATATTATTTTCAAGATATACCGTAAATATACTGACGAATTATTTGTAATCATAACTGTATCATTGAATCTACACATCTGCTACATATTAACTACATTTTTATGTAATTACCGAAAGCGACATCTGAAGGGGAAATGTGTTAGTTTCAAACATTTATTCCCGGTTTCTTTCATATAAGCCCCCTCGAAACGGCAACTGGCGTCTGGTGCGATGGAAAAACGTGTGGAATGGGGCATGTTCTCGCGTCGGTCCGATGCGGAGGCTCATCTCATCGAGATCACCCGCGTGGATGGCAGCCGTCGTGCTTTGTGGAAGGGGGGTGGAGAAGCCGCGTTCCCTCGTCCTCGAGACGCGTCGCGGGTGCATTACTTGAACAGAGTCGCCTCGGACTCCATAAGCCGCGCCACGATGGACGAATCCGAGCTGCAACCATAACCGGGAGCTCACATTCAAAAAAGTTCGATTTGGCGCGCACCACTCGGTATATTTTTCAAGTGAGACCGTATATACTGTAGAAACTGGTTTTCGCCGCGCTCCTATGTGGTGTTTTTTAGTGCTAAATGGTATTTTTGTCATCTATTAATTTAATTTTCAATTTTATATAAAAATCCAATAAATGCAAGTATTTCGAATAGGCCAATCATGTATAGAATTGATTCATCAATCGTGTAAAATTGAGTGGGCATGGCTAAATGTTCCATATAGATAGTATTATTCAACGGAACAAAGAATATGAGGAATTGGTCGTTTTTTGAATCGAATTTGAATTCGCCGCAATTCGCCGCAATTCGCCGCAGTTCGCCCCAGTTCGCTTTAGCAACAATGAGTCTCGTTCCATACACAATGTTGCGCATTCCATACACACTGTTGCAGCAACATTTACTTGAAAACCGTTTTTTGGTCAAAATAAAATACATTAAGGTAATTAAAAGAAGCAATCTTGTAGAAAATGCATTTATCTATGGGATAAAGCTAAGTGGGCATCTATAGCTTGAAATATAGGCAATACCCGATTCGCCGCAGTTTCGCTATTGCAACAATGAGTCTCATTCCATACACAAACATGTTGCTAATTCCATGCACACATACCCTGGGGGAAATGGATGATATAGAATTCAGAAAATGTTTGTCATCCCAGGCTCCGTAGGTATCAGGATCGAGATAAATATATACAAGATACTAATAATACAGATGAATATAAAATTAACGAAATAGGGTATAAAAATGCCTAGACACGCATCATGTCTTCAAATACCAGCAACATTGCGACTCTTTTTTTGTTGAACTATTTTGTTTAAACCTTGTTTTAGTCAAAATGCAATAAAAGCAAGTACTAAAAACTAACCAATTGTGTATAAAATTTATTCATCAATGGGCTAAAATTATGTGGGCACGGCTAAATGTTCTATATAGCTAGTAATATTCAACGGAAGAAAGAAAACGAGGAATATGTAAAAAGAACTTCAATTCGTCAGTATATTTACGGTATATTTTGGTATATGTCTGAGGGTCGGACGGTATATTTTATCGATAAGTCTTGTTTTTAAGGGTCGGGCACACTGGGGGTTTTCGTTAAAAATTAGCCAAAAAAAAAAAAATAAATAAATAAATAACAAGTAAATAAGGTAATTATAGCTGTCTGAGGTGGCTGCGCACTTGAGCCTGATAAGGGGGCTGTTAAATGGGCTCCCAGCATCGTCGAAAAAATCCCGGATGAATCATAAAACTAAAATGCTTTGTTTTTTCTTTCTTTTTGCTATTGCGTTCCCACACACATCGCTCCCACTCTCTCTCTCTCTTCCCCCCTGCTTCCATCAACTTTTCTACCAATCAATCATCGAATGTGAAAATTTTGATGCCGTTTAAGCCTGGCTTATTACGTATCCGTCTCTCCCATGCGATCAGTGCAGCGCCATGGATCTGGTGGACATTGATCAGGTCTTGGATAACCTGGAATTACGCATTGCCGCCGACGAGCAGGAGAGCAGGAATGCAGCGGCAGCAGCAGCAGCGGCAGCAGCATCAGCTGCAGCAGCGGCGTCAGTGGCAGCTGCAACGGTAGAATCTACGCCCACGCGTCCACTGGGAGACGGAGCCAGTGCCTCCAATGGGGGAGGAGTAGCTGCAGGAGGATTCGCAGCAGCAGGAACTGCTTCAGCAGTAGGTGCACCGCCCACCAAAAGCTTTGTGGGCGTCTCTCAGGTGTTCAATAGCCTGGACGACTATCGCAACAATGTGAAATCCCTGGAGGTGGACAACCAGCTCCCCAGCTATGACTGGCAGGCGGAGCACTCGCGCGATGTGGATGACAGCTTCGATGACATCAACAAGTTCAGCGAGGGGCAGGAGAAACGTCCGAATGAGGCCATAGTCTCTTCCTCCGAATCGCTAACTACCTCCTCCTGCTCCACGTTCTCATCGGGACCATCGCCAGTCAGCAACGACTCCGAGGAGATGGAGCCCAGTGCCCTGGAGGTGGTGGTGGCAGCGACACAGGCAGGGGCCATGCCGCAACCTGATGAGCCCAAAGTGGTGGTCGAGGACCTGGCCGTGGGTCTCTCCTCCATTTCCATCAGCAACAGCACGACCCCTGGGACACAGTCGCTGATGCCTGGCGAGGTGACGGCCTCCTCGATGCTCGGAAAGGTGCTCAACGAGTTGTCGGAGGATCTGACCAGCACAGACCAGGAGACGGAGGTCACCAATGGTCTGGAGGAGCTGCCGCGCGCAGTGAGTATCCAGTCAGATGGATCCTCCCTTCAAAGGCCTTCTCCTTATGCTCTAATTGATCCTTTTTAGGAATCCTTTCTCTCTGAAGCCCCTGCTTCTCCAAAAGAGCCAAAACCAAAGGATCAGGGGCCACGACGCCATCAGCCCGTGAAATTTTGCTCAACGATGGACGACATCTCCGACACGGAGCTAGACAGCATGCTCCAGGAGATTGATGTAGATGAAAACCAGGAGGGTCAAGTGGAGGAGCAGCAGCTGCAGCAGCAGGTTGAGATCCTTGAAGAAGAGGTATCCGCATCCGCCTCGGCGTCTGTTTCGCCCGTTACCGAAGAGGAGTCTGTGCGCATTCTCTCCGACCAGGAGACCACCTCTAACGATCAACTGAACGTGGACAACTTCTCGCAGGCCTCCACCGTTGAATTTGCGGAGCTGAAGCCCCACGAGGCTCCGGCCCCGGTGACGGCCATTGGCGAGGACATTGCCTCCTTTAGCAGCACGGAGTCGGATTCGCTTTCGGGCAGAAAGCTGGATGAAGAAGGGCCGGAGAATGACGAAAAGATGGAGGAGAATGGCGAGCAGCAACAGGTCGAGGGTGCCAGTGTGGCTGCGAATGCCCTGGAGGCCCTGGAACAGCGTCCCCAGAGACCGCAGACCCTGGATCTGGGCCAACAGGTAAACGCCAATGCCGGACAGACGCCGCCAGAGCCCTCCGAGGAGGTGCCCACTGCAGATGGATCCCAGGAGGACCAGCAGCTGTCACAGGCGGATGCCGCCTCGGGACCAGCCGAAGACGACGAGAGCCCCATCTACGAGGCCGTGGGGTACAGCGATCCGCATGCGAATCTGGGCAAGGTGCCGCCCATCTGGGTGCCGGACAACATGGCCGGGCAGTGCATGCAGTGCCACCAGAAGTTCACGATGATCAAGCGGCGCCACCACTGCCGCGCATGCGGCAAGGTGCTCTGCTCTGTCTGCTGTTCGCAGAAGTTTCGCCTGGAGTTTGCCAACGAGCCGGAGTCGCGTGTCTGCGTCCAGTGCTTCATGATCCTCACGGAACGGGAGGCTTCTGGCGACGCCTATCCGGACAATGCCTCCGCTCCGAACACGGTCCTGCCGCCCACGCCCATGCGTTCGCCCAATCCGAACAATCCCATGGAGTACTGCTCGACGATTCCGCCGCACCACCAGGTGGCCGCCAGCCCGGGCGTACCGCCGCCCAGCGTGATTGTGCCCGTGGGCGTGCTCAAGAAGACCGACGGCAGCTCCAATTCGAACTCCTCCTCCTCGGACAGCAAGAAGGGGCGCAAGCGCAAGAGCGTCATGTTCAGCGACGGCATCGCCCCAGGAAGCGAGCTGGCCAGCACCATGGAGCAGCAGTGGGGCGAGGCCAAGCAGGCACGTCGCGGCGTGCCCCGGAGCAATGGCGGCGGCCAGAAGCCACCCACTCCGGCGACGGAGGAACCCAGATCCAGTATTGAGAGCGCCACCAGTGCCACCATGGGACTGGTGGCCCAACTCTTCCGCGGCTCCATTCCACCAAGCGCGGCTGCGGCCACGCTGACGGCGGCCGAATCAAGCGGTAGGTAGTCCCTGAAGAGGCTCCCATCCAATCTGATCCTTCTTGTCTCCTCCACAGCCGCTCGTCCCACGGCCCAGACCTCGCCGCGCCGCAAGGTAGAGCCTGTACGCTCCCGAAAACTACCGCCGAACGGCGATGCCCAAGGCTGCTATCTGCCCGTCGAGGAGAACGCCCTGCCGCCCATCTGTTTGGCGGGCAAGGATGCCGGCAGCTGTGACGTTGAATACAAGGAGGTGCGCAACGATGGGGATCTCCTGGAGCGGCTGCAACACGAAACGCTCAAATTTATCTTGGAGAACAACTTCTACGTTCTGGTCAAGGTCATCAACAGTGAGTGGTGCGCCTTTTTACGCCCTGACATCCCTTACAATCCCCACAATTCCTCTTCCTCCAGTGAGCTGCTGCATGAACCGCTGGGTGCTGAACTTCACCACCTCCGGGCTGCACCACAAGGGCAGCGATGAGCTGATCATTCTACTGGAGATTAAGCCGCCCAAGCTGGGAGAACCGGCTGCAGGGGAGCCGGCTGTGCCGCGCGACGTGTTCCAGCACCTGTACGAGATCTATGTGGCGGATCATGCACGGACCAGCACCACCGAGCTGGCCTTTACCAGTCCCAGGAGCGCCCACTTTCTTGGATCGCGCGAGCACGGGGGCTTCATCTACATCCGGCCGACGTACCAGTGCCTGCAGGGCGTGATCGTACCGGAGAATCCCTATCTGGTGGGTGTGCTGATCCATCGACATGAGGTACCCTGGGCCAGGGTGCTGCCGCTGCGCCTGATCCTTCGCCTGGGCGCCCAGTACCGCTACTACCCCTGCCCGCTGATCTCGGTGCGCGGGCGCGAGTCGGTGTATGGGGAGATCGCGCAGACGATCATCAATTTCCTGGTGGACTTTCGCAACTACTCGTATTCGCTGCCCGCCATCCGGGGCCTGTACATCCACATGGAGGACCGCCAGATGACGGTGATTATTCCACGCTACCGCCAGCAGGACGTTATAAAGGCGATCAACAACGCCAGCGACCACATCCTGGCCTTTGCCGGCAACTTCTCAAAGGTGGCCGACGGGCATCTGGTGTGCATGCAGAACATCAACGACGACCGAAACGAGATGTACGCCTACTCCACGCAGGCCATCAACATCCAAGGGCAGCCCCGCAAGGTCACCGGCGCCAGCTTCTTTGTGCTGAACGAGGCTCTCAAGAGCACCAGCGGCTTGTCCGGCAAGTGCAGCATCGTTGAGGATGGCCTCATGGTCCAGATAATGCCAGCCAAAATGGAGGAAGTGCGTCAGGCGCTGCGAAACCAAACTGACATCGACATTGTGTGCGGTCCCGTCGATGCCAGCGACGACCAGAGCGAGATTGTCAGCATCAAGTGGGTGGACAACAATCGCGACATCAATGTGGGGTAAGGCCACAGATAATCCTCTACCGGCCTGTACTTTAAATGGAATCTTTTTCAGTGTAAAGTCGCCCATTGATGACATGGCCATGGAGGGCATCTCCAACATGCGGCTCCATGCCAGCTTCAACTATTCCAATGCCAATCACGTTATCCGCTTGAGTGATATCTACATTATTAAGGTGAGCTCGTTGTGGGATCATCTCTAAACGAACGAATCATCTATATATTATTCTTGTCGCTTTAGTGCGATGATTGGTATTCCACAAATGGTGGCAACTATGTGGACATCACTCGCATTGCCGAGCAACTGGCCCGAAGCGCCTCGATGGCCCTGCTCCCATTCCTCGATCTGCTTGCCGCCGCTGGCATCAACAAGGTTGGCCTCCGGGCCACGCTGGATCAGGAGAATGTATGTGAATTGATGGATATATGACCCATTTGCAATACAGATTATAATTTATATATTTCAAAAGGTCTGCTATGAGGCCGGTGCCCGTGGCTCGAAGCTCCCTCCGTTGTATATGAACGCCCTGGACAACCATCTGATAGCCACGCTTCATGGCGAATCGTCGGGCGTCCAGGAGCCCATCATCCTCGAGCTGGTGTTCTACATACTAAACGCCTGAATATAATCCCTCATAGTGCAATTCTTCTGTTGGAATCGAAAGCGATACGGAAACCGTCTTAAGTCTATGTCTAAGTCCACGGGCTGATCCGTTCTCTAGTTTTATTGTCCGGGTGGCTCAGCTACAATAATAACTGTGTATATATATAAGTAGTTCCATCGATTGGGTTTTGTCTCCGCTTTTCTACGACTTTTCCCATGTTTTGGTTTGTTTCAATCTAGTTTTTCGCCTGAACTTTTAACGATTTGAGTTTTCATTGAAAGTAAAAAGAAAAAAGTAAAAACTAAACCTATCTAAGAAACCTTAAATATATATATATTTCTATGTGATGTTCTTAAATAATGCTTTTCCAATTGAGTATATATAAAGATATGTGTACGCTGTATCTGTATGAATAACAAACTATATAAAAATGTTGGTTAAATGGCTGCTTCTCTTTTGGGTATGTTTCTCATTTCAAAAAGTAGATTGCGTGGTCAAAATAATGTAAATCATCTGTTAATACATTTAATCTTCGGCATAGCGAAATAATTCCAAAATAAATAGCTCAATAGGGAGGCATTTCAAATGTTTTATAGACGAAATGTAGGTAATATTGTTTCAAAAGGGATAATTTATATAAATTAAAGAGAGAAGATGGATGCTGGTTCGGAACAACCGAAAGAAGGGTTACCCAAATGAATGGCTATTCCTGATAACTTCAACCCGAAATTCGAAGCCGAACTGAAATTGATTCTACATTACAAATGCCACTCGACTTGTTATGGCCTGAGAGCGGGGCCACATAGAAATTAATTCAAATGGCAAAAACCAAGCGTAATGACTCCCAAAACATTATCCACAATTTTAGGAATTTTTTAAACACTTGACTGATTTTCACTGTTTTCTGTTGATAATTACCAGAGGATTCTGTTCGTCCTTTTATAGGCCACGAAACCCATTCGACAGCACATACATTCTCCTAAAAACTGTACAGTTTTCAACAATGTTTTAAGAGCACAGTGTTTTATCTGTTTGAAGTTGCAAATAGCGTTTGGGAGTCCAATGATTTCCAAAGACCGATGATTTCCAATGCAATCATTTCCATTATGCTCTTTTCATCATCAGGCAGCCCATGCCAAAAGCTATTTCGCTTTGCTTAAAAGATCCCACCTATTACTCGAAAAACTCTACAGTTGTAAAAGGCTTGTTTATGCCTCCTTCGAGCAGTTCCTTGATCCAATTATGGGTGACTTCTGGGGGTGGAAGTGATGGGCACTTGTAGACGTGATCATTATTTGGCTGACGGATATAGTTGCCACCGTTTCGCCAAGCCTGGAGATATGGAGCTCTATAGAAGCAGAGCCAACTACCCGTTGAATAAATCCCTCGGATATCGTTGTTAAATTATTCTTTATTCAATTTTAAGTGTTCCAATTGACTTTGCTGTGCGCGTGTGGGTTCCTACAAGGCCATTGCCAGACAGCAAGCACAAAATGAGTTAAAACTTGAATATAACAACCTATAAATGTATATAAAAATGATGTTCTCTTCGCTCGGATTGTACACAATTAAAGCCTAGAACGGTGACAGGGGACTGCAGCAGACGGACAGACCGAAATGGATGTATGTAGATGTACTCTCTCCATGGAGAGAGAGAGAGGTGTACGCATGTATCTATATACAGAATGCCATGGGGGGAGGGGGCGGGGAGTCATCAGTCGAGTTTGATTGGATTGTGTACACCTGTGTTACTCTGTTTATTAGCGGGTGTATAACTGCTTATGTGTAGATTTACGTTTTGTGTATGTATAACTTAAGCACTCTTGTCCCTTCGTTGTCGCTGCACCTGTCGAATGAGAGAGGGTGGAGGAGCCCCCTACAGCTCGTCGTGCTTGGGCCCGGAGAACTCATCGTGCGAGATGTAGCCGTTCTTGTCCTTGTCCTCGTGCTGGAAGATCTCCTCCACCAGCTTGTCGTTCTCGGCCAGCATGTTCTTCAGCTCGGACGAGTCCTGGCCCTCCACGGCCGTCATCTGCTTCTTCAGATACTCGCTCACCTACGGAAAACAGTGACAGGGATATAGTTCAGCGATTCCTTTCATAGTTGGAGGACAAAAGAAGAAGCTTTCTTTGGGGGTTAGTAACATTAGCGTATGGCCCAAACCCAACGGATATTTCATGAGTGTAAGAGACAGACATATCGTAATCAAAGTGCGATCCATACATATTCGATTACCTCTTCGCGACTCAGCTGCTTGTCGGCGTTCTCGTCGATCTCCTTGAACACGTTCGTGGTGGGCGGGGCATTGCCGATGTTGATCAGCTCCACGTCGAACAGAAGCGTGGCCTTGGGCGGGATCACATTGCCAGCTCCCTGATCGCCATAGCCCAGCTGTGGGGGGATCGTCAGCTTGCGCTTCTCACCTTAAATGCGGGAATTCCCATTAGACTCTGTTCAGACTGGATCTCTGTAGCCGCACTTACCCACGCACATGTTGAGCAGACCCTGGTCCCATCCCTTAATCACCTGTCCGGCGCCCAATTGGAATGTGAAGGGCTGGTCCCGGTCGAAGCTGGAAAAAAGATGCAGATTGTTAGACGCCTGTTAGCCGCAAAGTTTCAAGTGGGAAAGGGCATGTCCCCCGCCCTCGAACAGAGGCAATTCATCATTTTTTCACGTCTCTTTTTCGAAGGGAGGCAACTGGGTCGCTTTACAGTCTATAAAAAATATTTATTTGATGGCTTCGCTAAGCGAGTTTACTTTAATTTGTGGAACGCATGAAGGGCTCTCTGACAGGGGGGGGGGGGGGGGGGGGGGGGGGGGGGGACTGCTTCCTGTTCAGGTATGCATGAGAATGTCGCCGCTTGAGCTTGATGTATGATGTGCGTGGCACAGTTGCAAGTTGAATTAGGCATCAGGCAGGGCCGTTGATGGTGATTATGATATATAGAAGTGGATAAAGCGGACTGCTGGCAGACAATCCTGTAAAATGTCACCGTTAAGATGCTGTAAAGCGAGTTTATAGGCCAGAGAAGGGGGCATGGCAGAGAGAGATGAGAGTCTATGAAGGATTATACGGCTCAGATCTTACCAACTCCTGCTCCTGCCTCTTTTCCCCCTTCAATTAACATTGATCAAGCATATAAAGGAAAGACAAATCAGCTTTTCTTTGGCAGTTATTGCCCCAAAAATCGCATAAATTAGCGAATAAAGTCGGAATACACACGGAATAAAGCCCTTGAGCGGCGTGAGAAGAATCCGCGAAACGGAAAAGGAGGCGGGGGCGCACACCACTGGGTTGGGGTCCATAAAATGTTTCACATATTACTAGAAATTCATGGAAAATAATGCAATAAAAATTCACAGCCACAGCCACAGCCACAGACAACGACCATCACCTGCAGGGGCCATCGGGTGGGATACGCAACGTAAAGGTGTCTTAGATGCCCATAATCCCCGAAAACAAACAGAAAAACATACATAGTAACCACCCCACCATCCTGCCCAAAGAGAGAAGTACAAAATTTGTACGCTTTTTTATTTCATCTGGAGATTTGCACTTGAGCGAAAGCCACCGACGACGACGACACTTTGGTTCCGCTCCAGAGCCCCAACCAAAGCTCCACTTAACCGCTCCGTGTATATGCGCCGGGGTTTGTTTTTTTTTGTTTTCGGGTGGCTGGATTATTCAGCGGCAATCCGCATGCCACATGCCGCATGCCCCATCATCATGAGGCGGCGCGACTTCCAACTCGGAATTGAAACAACAGCGAAACATGAAACATGTAAAAATGTTTGCAAAATGCCCAAGAGATGCACATAAAATATTTAACAGACAAGGCTGTGCGCCGGAGGTGGGCGGCGGCAGGAGGAGTGGCACTTGACTAGCTCTAGAAGTTTTGTGGCCCCACCTCAAGGGGGCCAGGGTGCAGGCAAAGGCGCTACATGTGGGTGACGCCTTGTTAATCATTTGCTGGCGCTTTGCCCCCGCCTCCGAGTGTTGCCTCAAGTCCAATAATCTGTCTCGCATTCGCTCTCTCGGGGCAGGGAAAATGCTGGTCCCGGCAAAAGTTTAAAGAAACATTGTTCTCCCCCCCCTCTCGGAAAACTTTCTCAACAAAGAACAACGATTATAATTTGATGAGGAACACCAAGAGAGTTTCCAAGGAAAAGAATTTGCCTTCCAGTTAGGAGGAGGCCCAGGCGACACATTTCAATTGCTAGATCTCCAGAGGGCCAACAGGAGATCAGATCTCTTATAATTTTGATGGGAGTTTAAGGAAAAGAATAAGATGGCCCTCCAATAATAGAGGGATAAGAAAACATCAGAATCCCCATACTTATCCCTATGAATATCATTCAATAAGCAATTAAGATATTATTTGATATTCCTTGTCCATTAATTAGTTTTCCAATTAATTAAACCTTTAATTTGTTTCCTCTTCCATATCCCAGAAATTTAATTCACAAACGTTTAACAACGTTGTAAATAAATGATTAAAATCGTTTAAATGTGTTGATTTTTTCAGTCAACGGAAACTCTTCCTCCCCTTGCATCCCTGACCCTCACATTCGGCTTGTCCTCTGCCACCCCCAGAGTCCTTAAATATTTATGAATCGCCTGGAAAGATAAACAAAAGGTCAACTCCAACTGCAGTTCTGGGTAGATCCCAATCCCACACTCCCTCCTCGGACTGGGACGGATGGACGGACGGACGGACGGACGGCCCCTGCACAGGTGTTTTTAAGCTGCTGGACAAACAGGCTGCCGTTGCAGATGCCGATGCCGATGCCGACGCCGATGCTGGTGTTGCATAAGGCCTGTCCAAAGTCAAACAGATATCATATGCATTTCGCAAGCGTTTTTTCAGGTGTTTTCTGTGCGTTTTTCCCGCGTTAACCGAGCGCTTTTTCCAGCCTCTCTGCCGCTTGGAGGGAAGATTATTTTAGGGATTTTAGGGGTTCGTTTTTTGGTGGCGCCTTTATGGGCAGCGCATTATCATAAAGTCAAACAAGAAATGCCAACTCATTCATCCACTCCCTAAATAATTTAACAGTTTCGATTTCATTCTTTTGCCTGGCAATCCGTATCCGTATCTGTGTATCTGCGAGTCCTCCAACGCATCGAATAATTTAAAATGCAGCTGAATGGGCGCCCAAACATCCGTTTACCATTCGCTACCATCCTACGTGATTCCGCACCGCGGGGGTGCGTGCCGTCTGGGGGCAGGTGGTGGGTGGCGCCTCCAAAATCATACCACGTCACTGCCACAGTCCTCAGACACATTCAATCCAATCAAATTGAATCCTTTTGCCATTTCCCCCACGATGCTGGAGAGCGCTCCCCAGATGACCTCGTTTTATGTGTCCGTTCGGCAGGAAAAAAAAGTTATAAAATCAAATATGCAACCGCAATTCCTTCGACTTCCTTTCCAGCCTCCCCTGTGGGGCGACAAGTTGCGATTAACGTGCAGCCAAGGACAAGGACCTCGGGAGGACTGCTCTCACAGATCTGGGCGTCCACTCCGGTCAATGTGCGAACAATTCACACAAAAAGTTTGAACAAGTTTGTGCAGCCGCCTCGAAACACAAGTGCCGTCACGAGAGCGAGAGACACAGAAATTTATGCCCCCCACAGATGGTGGCACGTTCTACGAACCCTTCCTCGCCGCCGCCTGCCCCGCCCAGAGCAGTCCCGAAAAACTGCTGTGAATTCTGGAAAATAAAAATTGCAACCGTTGAAGCTCATTAATTATTTAAACTATCTACAAATGTGCCCGACGTCTGAGTCTCGCAATGGGGGAAACCCATATATTGTGTATTCCGTGGCAGGCTGGCCATAAAAGTCTGGCCTGCCGCTGCAGCAGCAGCAGCACCAGCAGCAGCAGCCGATTGCTGCCACATGGTAATGAGCTTTAGATTTACTAGTGGCAACTCTGGGTCTCGCCGCCAGCCAGGGTTGTAGCGCTTCATAAATGTTTCTTTTCATCTCTTCCTGCTATCAGAATTGGTGTCAAGGTGTCCGGCTTCTCTCCGACGGTCACTCAAGCAGATCCAAAGGCCACTTGCCAGCAGCACCCTCTCCCCCCTCCACACCTGTTACACCTATCGCTTCGTCCCCTCCTCTGGGGGACATTCAAGGTTGTCTTTGATGCTGTTGAAGGCGGCCAAGAGTAAACGGAAACTTTCACTTTGATGCATTTTCTGCTTGCTGCCTGTTTCTTGCGTTTCTTTACGCACTCTGCTTTTGGACACTAAATTGCACTTGCCACAACACAACACAACACACAGAGAGGTGCCGTGGCAGGGGCGTGCCTCACTGCCTGCACTTGCCACATACAAATCATGGCAGCCAAAAAGCGACAACATCACAATTTATGGCCCGTTGCTTCAGGTAACTGACTTCTATTCATGTCCTCTCTCTCTCTCTCTCTCTCTCTCTGTATCTCTCTGTATCTCTTCCTTGCTCAGACTCTTGGCCACTTTTTAGTGACGTTGTCAACAAACTTGTTTCTACATCTTCCCATCCAGCGAAAGGAGAGCAGCAGTCTGTATTTTTTAAAGCCTCTAAGGATTGACCTTCTGCGAAAGAGAAAACCTGATACTTTTCAAGATGAATATTAGCTATCAAAAATTCCAAAATAATCCCCAAAACTATGGGCACATTTTACAATCGTATTAGGTAAGAATTCTGTTAAAATTTAAGACCCAAAATTATTGTAATTTAAATCAAATATTTCACTTCAAATTTCTTTTCTTTCTTTACACGTTACTCCCTTTGCAAGCTTTCACTCTGAAAACTAGCCATCAATTCACCATTTTTATAAAATGTTGTATATAAAGATGTGATATAACTCGTAATGCCCTATAAGGGTACAACCTCGCTGACCATAACTTGGCTATAGGGGATTTCCAGATTTAAATTCTTGTAATAATACAAAATCCATTGGAAAAGTGTTACTTTATTGGTAACTGTGGACGGTTAGAGATCGAGCTTTTAGGTGTTTAAAGGTATATACTTTCCCTATAACTGGATTTTCGTATAGGACTATTTTCCCTATCCTTTCCCAATCGATCCCCTCAACTATTTCTGCAACCCTTTCGTTTGGTTTCTTTTCTATTATTTTCAAAATAGTACATCCTTTTAACCCGTTTCATAGGGTATGGATATGGATCCCTTTTGGATGTCCATATTTAATTTTAGCAAGTTTTTGCTGCTCTTGGCAAAATGTTTGAAGCTCAAGTAACAAATTAATTTACCCAAGAAGAATGACAACGAACTCAGAGGCTGAGTGGGGCACGTTGCACATAAGAAACTTGTATGGGGCACGGCACGGCGCACACAAAACACAACACATATATCATAAAAGAGTGGTGGGAGGAGTGGAGGGAGGACAGAGGCAGGCAGTAGTCATGTTTCGCGTCAGGATGATTAGAATATAGCGCGCAAGGAGGCTAAATAATTTATGCGGCCAAATGAAGGTTTGCGGGTCAAAAGTGGAGCCCAACTTGTTGCAAGAGTCACCCCGTGGGGGGGGGGGAAGGAAGTAGAAGCAGTCGCAGGAGTACTCCATTGACAAACTGTGGCCGCACGTGACATGGCTATGGCGCTGACAGGTAGACTCCACCACTCCAGATGGTACTTCCATTGCTTCTTCTTTTGGCGGAGACAATGAATATAAAAGCCGGAGACGGGCACGTGACGGGTCTCTCTGCTGCCCGTCCTGCTCATTATTGAATTAGTTGTGGAAACGAGAGCCTTTTTTAATTGTCCGAAAGGTAAGGCAGGTGCCTCCCCTCCTGGCACTGTCCGAGAAATGGTTTGTAATCCTTTTTATAAGCAACCAGGCACGTATGCAATTGAAGCATCTCCTGATATTATTTCTCCCGGAATGTGTGCTTAGGACAGTTCCCATTTTGATTGGCATTTCAATAGGCATTCCCCCAATCGAAGGACTTGTCAAAAGCACAAGAAAATGATTCTTTCTTGCCTTCACTTAAGCCTTTCCTCAGCTCCGGCTCGTCTCCGGGTAAAAGCTTAATTATCCCCAGAAAAACGGGGGGCTGGTGCCTGCTTTCAGGCACCTAATTTCCGTTGCAGTCTCATGGTTCGAAAGGAAGACAAGCTGTTTGCAGCCAGAGGCAGTGGCTGAAAACAGATTTTTGCATAGCAACAAAAGAAAACTCTTTGCGAGGGGCACCTTTGCGGGTACCCCAGCAGGGAGCCGCAGCTGTCGACATCCTTGACTGCACTTGACTGCCAAAGTGCCTTGTTATACCCTCGAAAAGGGTATTGTGATTATGTCTGGGTGTTAGCTTGAAGTGTTTTCGAGCAGAAGTGCTGATATATTGTAGTTTCAAGCTGAAAGATATACATATTGATGAGTGTAGAGTATCCCATTCTTCGGCTCAAACAGGCGATTCCTTATCTCTTGTTTATTGCTTTGACTTTTCGACGGCAGAGGCAGCATTTAAGCCGCAGCAACAAGTGGCAGACGGAATCTGGCATGGGCCAGAAGATGCACTCTGATTAAGTTAGTTAGTTGGCCTGCTCCGACTCCGACTCCGACTCCCACTCCCACTCAGGGCGGGGGGCAGGTCTGTGACTTTGCCACGCTAAATTTAACAGCAATTGCAAAACTTTCAACAGAGTCTCTCAGATAATTTGCCACTCAGTGTGCAACCAAAAGACAAGGTAAGCCCAAAACCAAAGGACAACTTTCGGCTCCAATGAGTGGCAGGACGAGAAGGAGCCACTCCTCTGGCTGGACATGTGACATGAAATGTTTTCGGGCTTTTAGCATATGGCCAGGCCTGGAAGGGTAGGAGGACCTGGGACGATTACGAAATCATTTCCTTTATGAGAGACACAATTTTCTGGTCATAAAATGAAATCAAAATTTGATAAGCCCAAAGATAACGAGAGGACAGTAAGGTAAACAGAAAGAGAAAGGGTGGCCGGCTTATGCTAAATTTATATATGGTACATACTCGTATATATGTTCATATATCAGGTGTCCTAATCGCGGTTATCTCCACACAGCTGCTATCGATGGGGATTGCTGATGATAAACGAAATTTTAGCGCTTGCCAAAATGATTACACGCCTCCAAAAGATTCCCCCAGTGCCCTGGGAGGAAAAGCACATGTACCTCTCGTATTACACTCTTTTAAGAGATTTTTCAGCTTTAATTGGTTACTCGGCTCTTTGTTGGATGGCAACTGAGTGTAGAAGTGGGGAGCATGGGGCTGTGCTCATGTTTTAAATGAAGCAGACAACACACACGATTTATTAGTGTCGTTTAAGGGTTAAAAATGATATGAGAGAACCATACTGGAACGAGATCTCGCTTCATTCGTGGAAGTTGGTGCTGGAAAATGAAGTGTGTAGGGATCATTGAAATTAAAGGAAAATACAAAAGATAGCTTGGAAATATGTTCGAGTACTTGAAGAGCTTTGAATGAATATATTCGCCGGTGTGGTAACCACCCAATCTCACACCCCCTGTGCCACGATAGAAGCTGATTTCTTTGCTTTATGAGGGCCACGTCAACGCCGCACACCCGACGGAAGCCGAAACAAAAACAAAGCATACACAAAAACCAAAGATAATGGGTAGGGGCTGTGGCAGTGGCTGGGGGGCGCCTGTGGTGGGGCATGGGGCATTCAGGCATGGAAAATGCAACAGCAACAAGAACAACAATGCAACAATGAGATCGCTTATCAGTTGGCGTCTAATTTACGACAATGAGCCGCCGTGTCGACAGACGCCTATGGATGCCTATGCACCGCAGTATGTGCCCCAACCCGCCACAATTTTAATCCCCATTCAGAGAGTGTGTCCGTGTTAAACTCGGATGTGTGTGTGCTATGGAGATTACGGCAGCAATCAGCTTTAAACATTGTCCAGCCCATGGCTAACCCCTGACCCTGTAGGAAGCGTTTTTAATGAGAAAGAACTCACCTCGAATCGAACTTCTTGCCATCGGCCTGCAGGGTGCCAGTGTAGTGCATCGTGAGGGAGTCTCCGCTCTTGGACTTCTGCTCGCACACCTCCGGGGTGCTGACCACCTCCACCTTGAGGTCCTCGGCGCGGACGAGGCTGCTGCTGGCCAGCAGAAGGCACGACAAAACGAGAGTGGACTTCAACATGGCTGCAAAGTAAACAGAAAGATGGGGGAAAGCTCGATTAACCAAAAATACGGCCTTGATTGGGGCAAGTGGAAGGTAGAGGAGGGAACAGGAGGGACACTGTTCCTCCAGTGTTTGTGACACTGCAATACACAGTTGAGAATGAATAATTTCCGAGTAGATAAACCTCTTGACTGCCCGATACCCAACGATAATAGACGACTAACCTTGTAGATAGAGTGGATAGAGCAGATAAAGGATGGTCTCACATTGAGTTAAGGAAAGCCTATTAAAAGCTTGGTTATACTTGAATGAAACCCCATTGAAACTCCTTACATCCTGTATATACTGTTCCTAGCACACTTCCTTCCTCTGATCACCAGATCAGTCCTGAAGTAATGAGCACCATCTTTTACAAGTTCAGATCCATCAACACTATTATCTTTTGCCTTTAGCTCTTCATCACCATCACCTTCCACTGATATTTCATGATGAATGTTGCGTAAACGCGATAAATGTTGGATTTAAACCAATTACCCAAAGAGGTGCAATGGTTTTGCTCAACAGTGTAAAGATGAAATTGAAATGAAGAGTGTAAGAGGTGTAAGAGGTGTAAGAGGTGCAAGAGAGGACGGAGGCGATTGTGAATGGGATGTGAAGAGCAGAAATTAGTCATTATGCAAATGTGCAATTCATTTTTTTTTTTGCTTGTGGCGAGGGGAAGAGCCGTCTGTGCCAGCTTCGACCATCTGCTGGACTGGCCGACCCCGACCGTATGATGGGGGGGATTATGCAAGCCGAAGCCGAAAGTTATTGCGCGTATTATTGCGGACATGGCGTATGCGTAATGTCCGCACAGAGTGACCACAGCAATTGGGAATTTCAGAGAGCTAGTGGCCGCACACGTAGGTGTTCCGTTCGCAAATGAAAGTTGCGGCATGAAAGCGCGTAGGTCGAACGGTCGAACGGTCGGTCGAAAGCCCTGGCAGATGAGACAATGCTAAAAATGATTTGCAATAAATTCATTTCTCAACAAGAAAAGAGTAGACAGGCAGGCAGGGGGGAAACTTTCACTGGATAGAAAGGCAATGGAGTCAGATCGAGAGTGCCTTCAATTACGTGATATCGACATTAGCATCTTTTGGACTATGTAGCGGAAAAATGTAAGGGGAGGCATACTCGGAGATTGCTCTTCCCCTCTCGCTGAGTGGCTGGAAGACTGACCTTTATATCAAAACTGCCTTTTCTGCCCGTGACTCTTTTAAAAGCCAAATAAAATAAAAGATAATGCTGCTCTCCACCAACTGTCGCCACTTGTCTATCTCTGCCCAACGATCTTTATGTTTGGTTTCATCCTCACATAGGTCCCCCACTCAGAGGAGATCTTGCGGCCGCTCTTGCACCGCCTTAGCCTCACCCTCGCAATAAAATACCTTGCTCCGTTTCTTTTTTTTTCTTTCTGATTGCCTGCGTATGTGTGTGTGTGTGTGCTGGTACCCAAAAAACCTGTTGGGGGCGGACTGTTGCTTCTTCTTTTCTTTTTTCTGTTTATGTCTGATATTTGTCTGCTCTTTTTGTTGGTATTTCTTGTTGTTGCTGTTGTGGTTGTTGGTGGTGGTGGTGTTTGACAGTTCAGTGAACCACTGCAGTGTACCGTTGGCTCCAAATCTGGGACTCAATTTGCAGCCTACCGCTAAATGAATCGAATATGGAATGGCTTGGGGCTGGAGCACTGCGGGAAAACTCTGACCAAGCTCTGACCACGTCATGACTTTTCCACTTCCCTTCCCAAACGCTAATTGTTCATATACGATCTCAAGATCGGGGACAACAAATAAACCGATCGTGATTGAGCTACGAAGTAAACGGAAATACCGCCCGGCAACATCTTTTTCTTTGTACTTCGAGCGATAAGCTCTCGCTTTCCTCTCTCGCACGATCACTGCTCTGCTCTCTCTGTCTCTCTTCTCTCTTTCCCGACGGCTCGTACGCGTGTGGTCGTGGTCTGAATATGAATGAAAGAGACGACTGCAGGCAAAGTACACGCTTTCTTTTCATTTCGCCTCTGAATGAACAAATTTCACTACAAATTTACGCTAGCCAAGCACACAGATTGGATGATATACCTTTTGGGTGTTTTCTACAGATAGATATCACTGGGATACTTGGCTATCGGAGGAGAGGGCGCGGCTGAGGATGATCGAGTGGAGACACAAGCACAGAAACACGCGGGCAACAGTGGCGGCGGAGGAGGGTGGACTGGTGCGTTCGACTCTCGAGAGGCAACTGCTGGAAATGTGGTCGGTCGCGACGGTTTACTATAACGGAGAGTTAGTGCTAGCGATCAGCGGATTCACTAAAATATCATGCTGCTCAGGGTACACCAACGAAAAGGTGAGGTCATGCTCCAGGTAGCAAAAGTTGTGCGCTCTCTCCCACGGCGAGAGTCTGCTCGCCAGACCCTCTTCTTGGTGTACCCTGCTGGCACTCTCTCTCTCTCTTCCCATGTTCACACTGTCTGAGCGACAGCACTTGTCCACGTAATCAAATTACTCGCGCCGCCCAGGAGCGGTTCACGCTGATAAAGTGGCAGAGGGCCTGAGCCGTTCAGTTCCGTTCCGCTTTCTGTTGATTATTATCACTTGCCAGAGGAATTCTATGACTTTTAAATGTGTAGTTTTTTTCAACTTTAGTTGTAGTTTATGTTAATAGTTGTTGTTGTTGTAGATTGGTATTTATATCGTCACAGTTGTCAAGTTATTCGTCATAAATTTATAACTCCTAAAGTAGTTTTCAGGGTTTTTAATACCAATAGTTACTAATAGTTGAGAAACTTCAGTGTTTGTTCAATGGAATATATTTAAATAATATTATTCATTATTTTATCAATGGCATTTTACGATTGTTTAAGTCTTAAAGATTAACTAGCAACACTTACAGGCAAAATGATAAGACTAATTTGAATTATCCAAACAATTAGCCAGAAACTAAATTTAATATTCTATTTTTTTGTAGTTTAGCTTCAAAAAAGTTAACCAAAAAATAGAAGATTTCGAAAATCAACAGAATCTGGAGAGCACACAACCTGCTCGCGAAAGTTTTCAAATGTTGACTGAAGGATGCTACGGAAAAAAACAAAGGACTTACAGTTATAAACATGTTGCATGCAACACTCGTGCTTTAGCAGTTGCTAAACATAAGGATATGCTCCTCCCTTGAAGGAAAGCGCAGGCGCCCTTCTTTCGGGGTGGAGCTACACTTAACTGGTATTTCCTAAGCTTACGAGGTATTGCAGTTAGTAGAAAAGATTTCCTATAAGTAGAATATGTTTCTGATGGCTTAAAACAAGATTTTGTTAAATTTCTGTTGTGCTAAAGAACCCCAGTCATTCTGTTCCGTTTCAGATAAGTATCCTCAGCTATTGCCCGCTTAGTACAGATATCAGAAATAGTATGAGCTCAGAGTATTCTACACAATCTACATGGGCACTCCTCTGAATGCGAATTTGTCACCCTTGGATCACGTTACGCCCCACTGAGCCCCGTCCAGCGATATCGAGTCTTGCCCCAAGAGTGTGGGGCTCCAAATCGAATAAAACAATTTAATAAAATCTAAACAAATTAATTGGAAATCAGTTCGAATCAGTGTCACTCTCAGCGCGGTCGTGTGGTGGTCCAGAAAATGTTGCAGGAGCTACGGAATAACTCAGATTTGGGGAGCCATTCCCTGGGCTTTGCCCTGAAGCGTCGAAACGATCGGTTCGTGGTGGAGCCCATCGGGGGCATAGTGAATCCTGCCTATGAGCCCGACCTATCAGGAGATGCTGCATCAACGGGAGGGGCCAATCGGGGCATTGGCCAATCAAAATGGCGAGTATAAACCAAAGATTACTCACTTGGATAATTTTCTCAATTTTCAATATTATCAGCGCAGTTATTACAACTTATAGTTATTCTTTTTAGTTATTATTAGTTAGTAGTAGTTATTCTGCCCTCTAGGCCTACTTAGATTATAAGCAGCTGTTCATAGGTGTCTGTCAGGAACTAGAATCCTTTGGTGTACACGGTCTTGGGTTTCTTGGCAGACGTTGGATTACGCTTGCGTTCGAACTGTAGTATGGGCGTTTTCTCGAAATCGTGCTCGATGATCGTTAACTCCCCAGGGCCTAGAATGGAGTATTGTCGCTGGCTGGAACTGGGCCCCAGGGTGTCCGCATACGTTTCCTTCTTGGGGCTGACCAGAACATCGGGGTCTTCAATTGAAATCGACTCGATGAGGGTGTAGTCCGCAGTTGTGACTCCATAGCGTTTGGGTAGGTTTGTGCCGGGCACTAGGGGAGAGTCGTCGTCTTCCGTCGGTGGGGCCTCCGGCTTGAGCTGATTCAGCCAGTCGTCCATGCGGTCGTTCGTCTCCGTCTTCTCTTCCTTCAGCTGCTCGTTGATCATGCTGGCATACACGTCCCGGGTGTGGTCGTAGTCGTCCATGTCCCACACACTCAGGAGGCGGGTGCTCAACATGTCCGTGTAGCTGGACAGCTTGTAGGCGGACTTCTGCCAGGGTCCACGGCTGACTTCCTTCGCTTTCTTCTTTTCGTCCGTTTTGGGCGGTTCTGGAGATCCAGCTGCTACTGGATCAGCATTCTCTTTTGAACTGTTTGTCTCCTGGGATGCAGTGATCTCTTCCTGCGACTCCGCCAGGCCGTACTCGATGGGGATTTCTTCGGGCTTCTCTTCTTCCATTGAAGCACGCCGCGCTTCCGCCTTGATGATGTCCCTTAAAATGGGAGTAGACTGCACCTCGGTGCACCTTAGTGGCTGCGGCTTTACGCACTGGTTGACCTTGTAGCCGTAGTAGCTGATGGCCGGTATGTTGTGGAGACCCGTGCGATACTCCTTGTACTCCGCCTTGTTTCGTACCGTCATTTGCTGGCTGAATACATCCCCGATGCTGTTGGAGGTCAGCAGCTGGGCAAAGTCATGATCGGGATTCTCCTTCTCCAGCTTGTCAAAGCGCAGACCCGTGACGCAAGCCTTGACTCGCTCCGGAAGATCCGCGTACACATCAACGTAGCCCTGCAGTCGGGCATCGATCAGCCCCTCCTCCATCGTGAGGGGTTTGTATGGAATCGTGGGGGAAGACATTTCCTGCACGCTTTGGGCCAGTGCTCCATTCAGCTCGCAGATGCGCTGATCGCTGGGCAGAAGGCTGCTCATGGCAACGTACTCGCTGCCGTCGTGGATGCATGTGTCCATGAAGGTGGGCGGGTAGGTCATCTGGTGGGTCCAGGTGAGCACGGCGCGGTCGGAGACCCTCTTGCCCAGACAGCGCATGTCGAGGCAGTGGAGCTTGTGGTTACTGGCCACATACAGCAGGTTGGGATTGGCGCTGCGGGCGAGGCAGGAGAAGGTCTCGCACTGTTTCATATCGACACTGCTGGCGTGGCACGGATTGAGCGGCTGGTCGATGCGCACGTCCACAGTAATCAGCATCGGTTGGCAAAGGTAGTGGAAGCTGCTGCTCCCTGAGGGTAGCAACTGGGCCCAGGTGCTGCTGTGCTTGTTGAAGGATTTCAGCATACATACATTGTGCTTTTCGATGTCCTGCTGCGTGACGATGTCTAGGAAGCTCACGGTCCGATCTTGGCAGGCAAGGGCCAACATGTTGGCGTTGCCCGCCGCCTGCGAGGCGCTGATAAAGGGCACATCTTCGCTGCTGTGCTTGCTCTGACAGACCAGCTCGAATTTCTCGCTCCAGTCCGACTCCTTCAGCTCGTAGATAGAAATCTCCTTCAGGAAGCGGCAGAGAAACATGTGGCCGTGGTTCACGCGAAAGCTTTCCAATGGCAGCAGCTGGAAGGGCTCGCTGGACGTTTCATTCAGCACAGCCGAGTGCAGGGGATGCCACAAATAGGCCTCGTCTTGCACCTCGGAGAAGTTCAGGTTCCGCAGCTTGTCGCCACTCACGTGCATGGCCAGGGTCTTGCCGTGGTAGCTCATTGTCTGGAGGTTGCCGCCCGTGTAGTAGTAGTCGTAGCTGTCCATGAAGTACCGGTTCTCCTGCGAGACTATGTGCTCTGCAATGTCAAACAGGCGCGCATCGTAGATCCCCCCACTTTTCTTCTTCTCTCTCTGTTTCATTTTCTTGGTGCGCTTCTCGTATTGGGCCCTTAGGTATAGCAGATGGTGCATATAATCGTCGTATGCCTGTGGCCGCTGCACGCAGGGCTCAATGAAGGCCGTCTGCCCGTCGCTGGCCACGAACACAGGCACCGGCACGTACTCTCTGCAGCTGGGAAACATCTGCAGCTCTTCGTCCGGCTTTACAGCGAGCCCCTTGTTCAGCGAGGGGTGGGCGAAATGGGCCGTCGTCTCCATCACGTACCGCAGACAGTTAGCCGTACCTTTGATCTCGTCTTTGGAGGCATCCTCGCCATTGTCTACAGACTTGCGCCCTTGATCCTCGTTGTCGGAGTTAATATCGCCATCGTCCTCGGTCGCGTACTCCCTGGCGGAATTCGACTCCGCTCTGATGCTTTTCGAACTGGTCGCCTTGTGATCGTTGACCGAGTTGTTCAGTTTATCCAGCTTCAGTCTCTTGGTGTAGCGGCGAGGCATTTTGACTGCAATGTGGAAAGAAACGATTCGGATATGCCGGACATGTGCCTCTCACGATAATTACCTGTACTGGGGTTCGTCTACAGTCCGCAGTGCTGCTCTAGGGGGATGTCTGCTTTGATCGATTCTCTAATTCAATCGGGTTTATGCAAAAAAATTAATCAAATCGACCGCAAAAGTTTGTTTATCACATGTTGTCTCCTTCAGTGTGACCATCAGAATATACTAAAATATACCGTCTCATTTTAAATATAAACCATAAACATACCTAGTCCTCTTCTTTGGTATTTCGACATTCACGCAGGCTCGGGGAGTTTATTCCGAAATTCTGTGTATCGAGGAAACATTCAACTAAAAAACAGTTCCGAAATTCGCAAAAAATATTTATCGTTTATATATTTATCTAGAAATATGTAGCAAATGTAAAGTTACGTGTAGTTAATGTGTAAAAACATACCTTTTTTACATCGGTATATTTCTGAGGGACTGACGGTCGCACTGATGCTCATACATGAGACGCAAAAATGAGACGGGAGAGCGGAGTTTTGAATGGGCTATAGAAAATGGTATGGACAACAGGTAGAAACAGCCCAGGGAAATGTCAAGGCTCGTACGAACCCCACCTCGATGAACAATACTCTATGGAGATAAATTGAATGTTGACTCCATGGTATATTAAGCAAGTGGGTTGGTTTTACCTGGCATGCGTTGCATTTTCAGGCCCGTTTTGCCCACTGTCCATACCCTCTTTCCACAGCGTTTTCCCAGATAAATACAATTCGACGAATTAAGTGCGAATTTATTATATAGAAATCCAATAAAAGCAAGTATTTCGAATAGGCCAATCATGTATAGAATTGATTCATCAATCGTATAAAATTGAGTAGGCATGGCTAAATGTTCTATTTAGCTGGTAATATTCAACGGAACAAAGAATATGAGGAATATGGTTTCCAATCCTGACGGAGAACGATTAACCTATTACAAGCCAAGGGGGTATTTCAATTTTCCACTGAAAATAATGAAAATTTAATCATTTTAGCGCAGTTCAGCTGAAAAATATCGTGGTTTTTTTTTAAGTTTATAGTAGAGATGGCATGAATCCTCAAGAAGAATTTACAATCAGTAATATTTTCCGCCATTTACCTCAAGTAGTTGAACTATTTAAATACAGGGGGCTTTAGTGGGAATCCGATAGAACCGAACATCGACAGGGTTGCATTTTCCAATATCAAGTTTTTGGGGCTAATGTTGTTCCCCAAATAAAATTTTACAATTAAGTGTGTGAGAACGCGAACGGTTGCCTGCTGCCTGCTTGTGGGTGGAAGCGAGTGCGCGAACAAAAAGGGCGAAACGCGAACGCGAATAGAAAAGGAGCAGAATTACACAAGTTGGAAAAACGTTTTTGAGACCGAATATTGATTTTTTCATAGAATCAGTCGCGCGGTTGTTGCCGTTGTCCGTTTCTGTGGAAAGATCAGTGCTGTGATAGATAACAGTAAAGAAAAGCAATTGAAAAGCGGGCAGTATTTGCCCACTCCACTGCTAGTCCCAAAGTCGACCCATTTCTGCCAGGAGGAGAGACACCAACACCCCCACGCACACACAAACAGACACACGGCCCACGACGAGTGTCAGGTGAGTTTTGATGTCCACTAGCACTCTTCTATACCCAGTCCCCCGCACACTCTCTCCCCCACTCCCACTCCCACAAACCCAAGCACACACCTGCACAGCAGGCACGATGAACACACATACACATGCAAAACCAGACAAAACAAATGCAAAATGCAGCGAAAGAGCAGCAAAAGTAACTTAATTTGATCATCCCCATTTGTTACGCTGCCCTCTGCACTCTGCTCTCTGCCTAGTGCATTTGTTTTGTTGCAACTCTCCCACAACTACTACTCTCGCTCTCCATATTCCCCCGCCCGTCTCTCTGTCTTGTCTTTCTCTCTCAAGTCTACAAACTCTTGCGCTCGCCCCCATTAAAACACGCTGCATCATCCAAACTTTATCATTTGCATCCATGTATTTGTAATTACTTTTTCTCTTTCTGTCTCTGTCTCTCTATCTCCATCTCTCTCTTTCTCTATTTCTCTTTCCAATTAGCACAACTGTATTTTGCACTGCTTCTTCTGCTTGCCTGTTCCTCCTTCTCCTGCTGTAGTTAACAGTTAGCTGTTAAAAGTTGCCACCTTGCATGTTGTTGTTGTTGTATCTGCTGCTAGCCATGTATCCCACTAATGCATCCAATTTCTTCATTTTTTGTTCGTTTTTACGGTTTCCTTTTTTTTGTTTGGTTTTTGCTGCTAATTTTGACAAGCCCCACGGAATGGCTCCATGGCTCTGACGTAATGCCAGCGCCTGTCTCTGCCTCTCCCTCTCTCTTTCCTCTCTCTCTCTCTCTCTTTCTCTGTCGACGTTTTCCCAGCTCTAAACGACCTCCAGCAAAACTTCGCCGCAGCACTGTGGGGCCTCTGCAGAGTGGAAGCGGAGACGTACTACTCTCTTTGTTCTTAGAGTTTTCACCTGTTAGAAGCTCTACTGTACTTGCAGACTTGTTATTTGCTGTTTTGTGAAATTTTATTGCTCTCTATAGCGATTGAGGCGGGGACGGAGTGCTTGATGTAACGGTAACCTGTCGGCGCCATCGCCAGTCATTTTCCTTTATTCCCTTTCGTTTTCTATCCTCCGTTCCGTTTGACTTTTCTGCATATTTAATGCGTAGGTCAGTTTACCCCCAAAACACACACACAAACACGCATATACGGACATACATGGATGCGAAAGCAAACAAACACGAAGAAAAAGTTCACAAATTGCTTTTGGCGCCTCCTTCTCGTTGCTGTTGTTGTTGTTGTTGTTGCTCTTGTTGTTGTGTTTTCTTTTGTCCACTCAGGTGGTTTACCTACTGCCTACTCTCTCCGTTATCCTCCCATACCCATCCCGCCCGTCTTCTGCTGCGGCGGCTCTGTTTTTATGTAACTTTCAAATCGATTGCAAACACGTAACAGTAGAGCAACCTGCACAGTCCGCCACCAGCCCCCAAAAACCCCGAATCGCCCCCCTGCTCGACCCATGTCCTCGCATATCATGCAACAACACTCTGACGTTAAGCGTGTGATTTTGTACGTCTTTGCATCCTGCAGTAAAGGGTATGCTGGTTTGGGCTAGCTGTTTGTCATGAAGAGAAGAAAACCAGGCATTTCCTGGAAGATATCCCTCATTGCTGTAGGAAGCATCTCAAAATCCCTAAAGTTATAGTTCAGTACTCAGGAAAAACGATCCAATCATTCACATAGGAATATGCTAGGGTATTACTAACTTTGGCCCCTACAAAATGTTCCTTCTATCTAGCTTTTTTTTTTGGTGGCCTGCGGCCTGGCATAGCGTGACATTTCCTTTATGTGATTTGCTGCCGTTGTAGTTGTCCCTGGCCCCTGGTGCCTAGCCTCTAGGCCCTCGTTGTTCCGTCCTCAAGAAAAGCAGAACATTTGAATAATTTCCGTTTTGCAATTTTGTCGCTACAGCTGGCGATATCCTTGAAAGGGTCGGACAAATTGCACTCAATCGAACAGCAAGACCATGAAATGCTTGCAGTTCCCCGACTATTTCTGGGGGGAAATCAATCCTTCCATTGACTGACTGACACAAAGAGGAGTTCCTCGGAAGAAGATCTACAGAAATGTCAAATAGTTCTGCAACTATTTTCCCAGCTGGGGAACCGCCTCCAATGGGTTTGTTGTTGCCCGTTGACCTGCCAACGGTTGCCATGGCGCTCTGCCAAATTGTCGATATTTTGTGTGCTCCTTTGGCACGGACACGGGTACGTGTACGGGTACGGGTATGGGCACGGCACTATTAGGTTGTACGAGTATGTCTACCTATAACCTCCTCTCCATTTGCCAATTTCCATGGCTCGACGAGTTTTCCTCACTCTTCTGCCACTGCTACTGCTGCTTTCCTTGTTGCACCCTCGCGTACAATTGTAATTATGAATAATTCGCCATAAATGGCACACGCTGGCCTGCAATTATTGGAATTGAAGTGCCCCAGATGTGCCGCCGATAAATCGCCACTCGTTACATAGTTATACAATATTTCAGCTATTCGCATACTATATTTAAATATATGTATGTACTCGTACCCGTATTCTTCTGCTGTCATTATATCATTACGTGCGACCACAGAGAAAAGTGCAAGCGCAACTTTATCAGCGCCCATAAATCGCCAGGCGAAAAGGTCAAAGTTGAGCCCTGGTGGTGGCTTCTGCAAGGGTGGTGGACTTACCTTGTAACCTCCAGCCTACGGCAGGCGGAACTTTAAATGAGATGCCATTCTGCATTGCTTTGCGCCTCGCCCGAAGGTGTTTTAATGGGTAAAATTTCGGAATTTTAATAGTTTTAGGACAGAGTAATAAAGATTTCGGTTAGCAAGAAAGCTATCCTTCAGAAACATTCGTGGTTTTGAAGGAGAAGTTATGCACCCAGCCATGATCCGAGAAGCTAAAGATGTTCGGCAGAGCATAGCAAAATTAATTCTCCCTAAACCTATGGTAATAGTCTGGGGTCTCGATTCTGTCTCTCTTGCTTCTCTGGGGCTGTCCATCCAGCCATTGCTGAGGTATATCAGAATAACTGAAAGAATCGGCAAAGACCCCTGCATGGTCTTATAAGATAAGCAGATAAGATAGGGAGAGGGAGCTTGGGCAATTACTGGGGCACCATTGATGTAGGGAGAGGTGCTTCTACTTTGGAAAGCTTTTTATGGACAAAGTTGTACTTTTTATTGCGAGTTTATGCAGAAAAGACGGGCATGTATTGCTGCAGTTGAAATGGGTAATGACCAATGAAGCAACGAAAGTTGTGGCCTTCTGCATAATAAACTCTAAACAGTGACTCTCTCTATCTCTCTCTGGAGGGTCATCATACATCACACGCAAAGTTGTTCCAGTTCAGATACGAGTTCAAACTGCTCTGCCCTCACAGCCATTCATAACCTAAGACGCAAAAAAGATTTACTCATAACGAGTTTTGTTCTGTTTGGCGTATAAATTTATACACAAATATATATTGTATGTGTATTACTACGAGTATATGTACATATGTATGTATGTATGTATTTATCTATATCTGCTGGCGAGCTGCGTCACATGTAGCTGGCGGCAGTCCACTCGAGTGGGGAGTCGCTTCTGTTTTTGTTGTTGTTTTTACTTTTTTTTTTTTTTTTTTGCGATTATTAGTTGATAAATTTACTCGTATGACGCACTCAATCAGCTCCCCGCGGCCCCTGCCAAAAGGGTTCATAACGTTGTCGTGCTCCTGAGCATGTGTGAGATTTTCATGGCTTTGGCACTCTTGGCCCTCATCTGGGCCAGGGTACGAAGCGGCCCGGACCCGGTGACCCTCTTGGCGGAAAACTGGGTTAATGTAATGCATACATGTGCTACAGCAAGAAGAGGAAGAGAATGGGAGGAGGAGATGGAGAATAGAGGCAGATGATGGGCTGCAGTCTCTTTTTTCCATCTCTCTTTCTCTCGCTCTCTTTCTTTCCTTATCTGCGGCTGCAAGGGGGCTGGTACTATGCGGCTTGGCCTGCTTATTTAGTTTCAAGTACGTACATTGACGCCAAAAGCTTTGAGCACAGTAGAACCTGACTAACGTTGCGAGCAGTGACAGTAATCCCTGGCTTACCAAAGATAACGATTTAGATTTAGACTAACAATAAAAGGTGGGGCTTTGGCTTTCTTATACTTTTGGAATATATAAAAATATTTGCTAAACTAACTAACTTTGGCTGTGGCTCACTGCTTCTTTACCCTCATTAACTGCGCTTCTGTTTTACTCTTCCCTCTTGATTCAAGGTGAAGCCTTCCATTCTTTTCCCACTCTTTAAGTTGCATATTTGGTGGGCGGCTGCCACCGAAGAGCGCTCTCTGGCAGTGCCACACCTTGCATTAATACACCGATTTTCCACAGCTTTCGATGTGTGGTTGTCTCTTTGTCCTTTTTGTTTTATAATTTTCATGTACTCTTCTCTTTATTTTTATATGATTTATGTTTTGTGACGTTCCCGCCGCTGCCGCTGCCGTTGCCGCTGCCGCTGACGCTATCTGTCTGTCTCTGTCTGTCTGCTGCCTCCATTCAAACATGGCGCACGCACACAATTATACTCCCACACAAACATCGACGCCGACGCTGACGCCGACGGTGGCTGATGAATCAAATGCATTGTTAATACACTCTCACACACCAACACACACACACGCACGCAAAATGCATTGCATGCACAGGAAGAAGCTCCGTTTGTTTTCGTATTTCGTTTTGTTAATCCGAAGACCCGAAGCAGGCTAAGTATTCAAAATTAAGGCAAAAAGTCAAGAGAGCAAACGAGCTGAAAATATTCAGACAAGATAAGAAAAGACAGAGAAATTAAGCAATGCCCCAAGCAGAGGGCGGCTATGTATCGCTGCCGGCTGTGAATGGCAATGGCAGCGCCATCTATCAGTCGACCACCGAGCCCTCAGCCCCGCCCTCTGTATTCGAGAGTGTCAAGCGGGTGATCGGGCAGGCGATCAAATCGACGCCCGGGGACAGCGAGGAGTTGTTGCGCTCCGAGCGCCAGCCGGTCATTGTTGGCGGTGTCAGGTAAGTGGTGCGAGGGTCGCCCATTAGGGTGGCCCACCCTCACATATCTAGTGAATACCCAAGGTGTATTCTGTACAATGCGAGGCCCCAGAGTAGCCTCCTGCCATCGCTCCGGCCACTATCGTCAGAGTATAAGTACACCTTGCGCACTGCTCCCGCACTCACCTCACTCTTAATCACACAACTCCCGTTCCATACACTCTCTCACACGCACACGTACTCGCACTCCCACTTCCCATTACTCTCACTCTCCTCCCAGTGACCTCCCCGTCCTCCTCCGGCCAGCTACCCGCCCTCTTCCCGCTTAATTGTGATTGCATGTCTTTTGCTTTTGATTGTTGCTCTTGTTGCATTTGTTGTTTCCCTTTTTGTTCTTTTTGCACATTGCATTTGATTTGATTTGGCCACAAGGAATACATAAATATATCCTGGCCATATCATTACCGTTACATCATCACCCACATCCCCTCTAAAGACCAAAAGTGAAGGGAGGATTGTATTACTCTCTCTGTAGAGTATCTGTAGCTGCCTGTCCCTCGAAACCCACCATTCAGTCATCGAATCTTCTTTCGGGGTTAGCCATGACTCAAGGTCGCCGATTTCTGCAGCGCAGTTTGCATTTTTACCGCCTTACCGCGCGCTCTCTTCCGCTCTGCCGCTCTGCCTGAAAGTTTTACAGTTTTGTCAATACAACAAACGTAGACGAGAGCAGAGCTAATGCTCCACTCAATCCACACTCCCGGCTCGTCGGGGGCCGCGACAGCGGTTTAGTTGGACGCCAGCCGCGGTCCGACCCACATTCGTTCTATTTCTGTCCGCTCTTGATCTGTGCCAGAGATCTCAAGTGCTTTAATTAATATTTCCGCTGTAAGTGGGAGCCCGCAGCCTGTGCAGTGCCCGTGATTTAGCTCAATTAATTTCGCATCCAAGTGAGACAAACGATTGTAAGCGAGAGCTCGGTCACTCTCCGCCCAGTGCAATGCACTTATCCATGGGTCAAACCGATCTCAGCCGGCTCGAACCGGTTAAAACAGGGCCTGGCACCGGCTGGAGTCGAGCTGTAAGCTGAGAACTCGAAGTCGAAGACGAACACAAAAGCAAAAGCAAATAATAAACAGCAGATTAACTGGCAACAGTCAATCTCTTTCATTTCTCCCCCATTCTCTTTCCCGAAAACCCCCCTTCCCCCACCGAAAGAAAGAGTCTCAGGACTGGAATTTTTGGTGTAAAGGAATCGATTCGATTCAACTAAAAATGCCTGTGGCCTGTAATTAGTTGGTTAAATCTGTCCTTGAATGGATGGACACCTTCCCCCACCAGGGCCGTCAATAGTAATTGCCCTGTGGTCAGTGGCTGGAACTTTCCACTCGCCGCATCTAGGCTCTCTTCAATTAGCTCCTATGGGGGATTACCCAAAGCTCCATTCGGGGATAATCACGTAATCAATTAAAGTCTGAATTTCACTCCAATTAAATCTGTCTTTAAAAGCGTAGTTGTAGCGCTGGCAAGAACTCCATTCGAATAGTTTTTCTCCTCCTATCCTGTGGGATTGCCCTGTGACTCGGCTAGAGCATAATCACGTAGCCAATTAAAGGTGATAGCCATTCCATTCCAGCAATTCCAGGATAACGAGTCCACCTTTCTCCAAGTTGCCTCCAGACCTTCCTCTCCCCCCTCCACTACTTCAGCATTAACTAATTGAGTTTGGGGCTCGTCCTCGCCTCGCAGTAAAACTTTTCTGTTTGCCAAAAAAGGGTGGGAGAGTAAACAAAAGTTGTTCTCACATTCCAGCTCTCTCTCTGTTTCCTGCTTCAAAAAGGTAGCGGAAGTTTAAGAGAGCGCTGCTCCGAGGGGAACGGTAAATTATTATGGCAGCAGCTGGGCTCATATTTCTGGCGCCACTTGTTTTTTCCACCAGACAACTGCCACATCCCACATCCCACATCGTCATTTACCCCGAATGACATTGCGTGACTCATTTGCTTACGTTTTACGTAACGCAACGTGACAGCCTACACGGCGTCCTTGCCCCTCCCCCCATCAAAATCCCATTTCATTCATTAAGCCGGCGAAATTACTCTATAATACTCTTCCTCTCTCTCTCTCTCTGTCTCTGTCTCTCTCTCTCTCTGTGCCTTTCTCTGTTAATATCCCCTAAGAATTACTCAAAAGAAATATATCTTTATACATATATCGAAAGAGGTTTCTTGCTGATTTTTCACATACGTATAACCGTGGAAAAGTCCTCAAGGAACTGCCTAGAGTTTGTGTTTTTTTGGTTATTCTTTGCTTGCATGCTCATAGACTCTCTTTCAGAGACCGCGACAAAACTGGTAAGACTCTGAACACCAAGATGCCGTCAGCACCGACACACACTGCCGAGGAGGCACACCTGCTGGGGTAAGCAAAGTCCACCGATCCCAAGTACCAAGAACCAAGAACAACAGCCCAAGCAGCGACCGAATCAGATTCCCCATGAACCTACGTATATACCCCTAATATATATTGTATATCTCAAACACCCCCCCACCTCCGAATGTAAGATATTCGAGCGTTCCAATCCCCCCTTTCACACTCAAATATACACACACACCGTAAACACTGTAACACTCTTACACTATCACACAAGTTTAGAGTTTTGTTTTATGTTAATGTTAATTTGTCACACATTAGAATTTGATTTATGAATATCTCTGCGAGAGAGACAGCAGTACATACTCGTAACCCGTACGTTTGTAAGTATCTTTGCCTAGATTTGAGTTGAATTTGAGTTTTTGGTTGTGTGAATTGCAAGCAGACGATAAATAGAACTAAGCCCTATAAACAGCATCTGTCTATCTCTCTCTCTCTATCTATCTCTCTGCCCTAACCCGAATGTTGATTGACCGAACTTCTTTCGTCTTGATTTGATTTGAGTTTTGCATTCACTATAAATACTATACGATACATAAACATATACTGTATGCCATATAGAGCGTAGTCGAGCAGCGCGATCATGCCGCAGTCCTCCCCGATTTACATTACCGATTAGCATTATTAGTAGCCTTTTAGACAAGTCCATAGATAAGGATGCACCCAGAGCCATAGTCCGACTGGATGCCAGTCCATGAACAGCTGCCGCATTTACAGCTGCTGCTCTTGCTGCTGCTGCCCAAAACCCCACTAATCAATCAGTTGATTCACCAGGAAACAGACTCACTTGGTTACTAATTGCATCCCCGCTTTGCCATTCCTAACCACAGCACCATGCCCGTTGACCCCATGGACGACATCGAACTGCGCTCCGTGCAGCTGCACTTCCCGAACGCACGAGGCTCCATCCTGGAGGCCTGCGACCAGCGCCGTGTGCCCACAGACAAGGGTGACATACACGTGGCCATACAGGGCGATACCTCCAAGCCGGCCATCGTCACCTATCATGATCTGGGCCTAAACTGTGAGTACTGTTCTTTAAACTGAAGTAAGCTCCAGTCTTAGAATACGTGCTCGCACAGATGCCACCAGCTTCGCTGGCTTCTTCAACTTCCCAGTGATGCGGGGCCTGCTGGAGAACTTCTGTGTGTACCACGTGACGGCACCCGGTCAGGAGGAGGGTGCCCCAGCATTGCCAGAGGAGTAAGTCCTAAAATACAAATCATCTGGAAATATCTCTCGCTAATGCACTCGATCTTCATCCAAACAGCTACGTGTATCCAACCATGGATGAGCTAGCCGCCCAGCTGCTGTTCGTGCTGTCGCACTTTGGATTGAAGTCCGTGATTGGATTCGGAGTGGGAGCTGGAGCCAACATCCTGGCCAGATTCGCCCACGGCCACCCGGACAAGGTGGGGGCACTGTGCTTGATCAACTGCGTGTCCACGCAGTCGGGGTGGATCGAGTGGGGCTACCAGAGCTTCAACGCCCGCTTCTTGCGCACCAAGGGCATGACTCAGGGCGTCATTGACTATCTGATGTGGCACCACTTTGGACGCAATCCGGAGGAGCGTAACCACGACCTGGTGCAGATGTATAAGCAGCACTTTGAGCGTGCCGTCAACCCGACTAACCTGGCCATGCTCATCAACGCATACATCCATCGCAACGACCTGCACCTGGCGCGCACTCCGCCAGGCACCCCGGGCACGGAGACGGCGGCCACCACGCTGAAGATGCCTGTCATCAACATCACGGGTTCGCTCTCGCCGCACGTGGACGACACGGTCACCTTCAATGGTCGCCTGGACCCCACAAACTCGTCCTGGATGAAGGTTTTTGATTGATTATCCTCTTACTGTATGGATTATCCGATTTCTGACTGTCGATTCCTTCTGCCTTTCAGATTTCCGATTGCGCTCTGGTGCTCGAGGAGCAGCCGGCCAAGCTGGCCGAGGCCTTTCGGCTGTTCTTGCAGGGCGAGGGCTATGGTAAGTGTTAGAACACGCACACTCCACCACAACAACATCAACCAACTACTCCAACAACAACTGAACAACCTCAGCAATCTCTGCTACAATCTCAGCAATCTATTACCTACTTACTACTCCCCTCTTAACTATCCACTACTACTACTACTACTACTACTACTACTACTCTTACTACCACTATCTTAGTCTTGTTCCTCAAGAACCCCGACAGGGACTGCGAGCAGTCGTGGAGCTGCCTCCAGAACCCTCCTCCAAGAGAAGCTTAGTTTCAGTTCAGTTCAGATCAAGAACCAGTCCAATTAGGCACCTAGCCTAGACCCTGCAATCTATCACACCCTAGATCCTAGACACACAGAATCCAAGTCGCCTTCTGGCCTTACCCAACCTAAACCTTAGCCTAAACGGATGAGAATCTTTGAGAATCAAAAGCTTTTCAAACCTAAACGAAACAAAAAACCAAAGAAAAACTAATTTTAAACAAATTGTGCAAAATTTTATATGTAACAAATTTACAAATTGGAAAAAGAAAACATTGAAATTCGTTCGTATTATGTTGAAGAACCAAAAGTATTTGTACGCAAGAAAAGTATTTCAAAATAAAAACCGAAAAGTTGTTGAAAATCAATCGTTTACTTTCTCTATATACAATATACATATAACCCTTCCAGCCCCTCCAAAACTTCCCCTAGATAGGGCCAGACCCTTCCCACGAACACACAGAAACCGATGAAGTATACCCCAATTCAATACGAACGCCAAATGCATTATCGCATCAACAGAAAAAACAAGATATTTCAATATGTTCATTACTTTGTTTTTCATTTCTTTTTCCTTTCTCCAAAACTGCTTGTTTTTGCTAAAAACCAACATACCAAAAAAAAAAAAAAAATATACAAAAAATACGAAAAAAATGCAAAAAAACTATACCAAAACTACCGAACAACACGCCACACGAATCCAAATGAAAAACAAAACCAAAAAATATATATCACACGAAATTGCACTCTGAATCAATTACAAAACCAACCACATCCCCCATGCCACGCCATGAATATGCACATGACCTTGGGTGCCACACATTCGATTTCATGCCCCAACCATCCATCTGTCCATCCATCCACCGGCTTGGTCCCGTTCTGGGTCTGGTCTCTGATGCCCCGAAAATACAACTGTGTTCTTTTGCACTCTAATTCTGATTTTTTTTTCGTTTCGAAATTCGTTTCCAACCAACAAACTATATATTCTCGTAATCTAATGCGCGTTCTCTATAATTTCAACAAAACAACAAAATATAATAAACGCATATATGGTATGTATATTTGTACACCCGCCCGCCGACCAACACACACACACACACAAAACATATGTAAATACCCAACTGTAGTATCCGAGAAGCCCCAGTAGGACGTACCAACCCCCAAGGCACAGCGCAGTAAAAAATACCGATACAAATAACAAAACCGAAATTCTAGTTGGAATGCATTTAGCTAATTAATTAATAAAATAATTCAAATTAACATTCGTATATAAACACACATACAATATGTACTTATAAAATAGTCAAAATGTAGAGTTTAGAGAACAAAAATACTCTCAAGTGACTTGCATTCGCCTGCACACACGTAGATTTTGGCTTTTGACTCCCGGCTATGCTAAACAGTAGAGTACAGTGCCGCCTGGCAATTGATGCTTTGACGCTTTTCCAATGCTCTTTGATTTTCCCCCCACACACAACACATCCACTGACCCACCCACACACCCACTCACACACACTCACAAGAACACCTTAATTAGAAAAAAAAAACCTATAATTTATTTTTGATGTTTTATTTATTTCATTTATTTACACGCAAATTGAATACAAAATACAACAACTACAACTACAATTACAATTACTACAACAACAACAAAATAATTGTAAAAACCCCCCACAAAAAGCCGTTGGCACGCTCCAAAAGCTGGCACGCAAAATCTCAATGGCCAGTCGGAGCAGTTCCACACAAATTGAGCTTAGTGTGCAGTGAGTGAGAGAAAGGAGATAGAGCCAAGGAAGAAAGCTTAAGAGAGATAGAGCAGGAACAGCGGTGTGACGGCAGCACAGACTCCCCCCGCCCCCACCCCCAAGAAGTAACCGGAGGGGCCCTAGAGTGAGACAAATTGGATGTAACCACACCCATAAAAACAACTCCCACACACACCGACACACACACACACCGAAGGAAATGCACACACACGCCCTCTAGAAACAGTAACGGTACAGCAACAAGTTGAAGCTTTCCTTTCTCCCGATCCGGGGAGTCCCCTGAAGCTTTTCTTTTTTCGTTTGTGTGTGCTCTTTGTTTTTACGTTGACCTTTTATATTAATTATTGATTATACATATATAGTCGTAAGAGATCTAAGAAGCGGCAGCAGCATTAGTTTCCACTTTTATTTGTTGTCTACATAAATATTTACAATAAACGTATTGCCTATGTATGTATATGTTCAATACCTATTTCCCCTATGGTCTTGTTTTCTTACTTGTTTATTTTCCTGCCCCAAAAGTCGAGCTGTACCGCACACATCAACACATTGCCACACCACAACCCCACGCAGCAGCCGCAGCTTACAGCGCCCCATGTACGAGTATTTGAAGCAATAAATTTATACATACTTTCTACAAATATACACACAGAACAGACATTGCTATTATATACATACAACCAAAATACATAAATACATACAAAAGTATATGCAAAGAAAAGAAAAACAATAACTGAAAGTGTAAGCTTTTGTTGTATATCTGAGAATTCTGAATAAAACGAACAACGTAAATTTCAAACTGTGACGAACCCTGAAAGAAGAACTAGTTCCAGTCATTCGAAACGTGTCGAGTCGCGTCTCTTTCCCACAGCATCATCCTTGACATCACCGGCAGATGGCGCCCTCCATCCAGAAAATCCTCCCCTCATTGTCAGATCGACTCATCAACCAGAGCAACGATTGTCGCCGCATCATCCTGAATCAGTCATCAATCAAGATCCACTCCACACACACACACACACACACACACACAGAATGTCCAGAAACATCACACGCCTACACAGACATCTTTTAAACAGCAGCAAATCCCTAGAAAGTGTATAAAGAAACACCCATCAAGAACAACCAACCAACCAACCAGTCAATCAATCAATCAGTCAACCAATCAACAACTTACATGCTCAAGAGTAACATAACGTAAATAACTACTACCTTCCCCTCCAAAAACAACCAACAATCAACCACTAATACTGCCACAGCAACGCCTCTTTCGACGCCGGCGAGCTCCCCGTGCGGCACCAAGTACCACACTTACTCCTCGATATTCTTCGCCAACTTCCGGGAGCAGCAGCAACAAGCGAGGGAGGAGCGCGACCGGGAACGGGAGCATGATCGCCAGAGGCAGCTAAATCTCCGGATTGGCAATCGGCTACGCGAGACGGCCATCAACTGTACCAACAACGGATCTGGAGCCGGAGCCGGGGACAATAACAACGCCGACGCCAGCGAGGAGGAAGAAGACCAGGAGAACGGAAACGGAAATGGCAACCGTGCCTACGTCACCACAGACACATCCGGCACACTCTACTACGGCACACAGAGCAACAAGATACGCATCACCGAGAACCCACTGCCCGAGCCGGTCAGCTCCTAGATTGTTACGCCCTACTCCTACCCTTCCCACAACCAAGAGAAACCAAAACTACGCCACACTAAGGTACACTAAATAGAAGGTCTGGCCTTAATCCACACACTGTTAATGTTGTTACAAGCGAAAAGAGAGCAGAAATAATCACACAGCAACAGCAGCAGCAGCCGCAGCGCAGCGCAGCCAAGTCAAGCCAAGCTTCAGAGTAAACTTAAAAGCCGAGCCGTGCTCCAAGAGACACCCCACACTCCAGTACACACACACTCACCGCTAGAGAAAAGACCCAATAATTACGTTAGCCACCAAAGAGAATACGTTCTTGTTTTCGCTTTCCCCGATTATCGATCGAAAGAGTGCGGAGAGGCTCTATCGAGATATTTGTAATTTACACTTTGTGCCTGAGCGTTACGCATGCAGTACATAGAACATAGCCCCCACAAGACACAAGAACCCCCCACATATATCCAGCCAGATCGGTACGGATTGGCAGCTTAGGAATCCTTTTTTTGACGAGCTTGCTTAGTTGTTGTGAAACGAAGCGTAACGAAATCAGAAACGAACAATATACAAAAATATACATATGTGTGCATGGATATATCCGTGCACACGGATGGATCAATTAAGATCACGATGAGGTAACGTAACTCAAAGATTAAAAGCATTTTCGCTTAATGTTAAAACAAAAATTAAAAAGAAAAAACTGTTAACTTAATCCCAAGAATAACGAAAACGAAAAAGTGTAGCATATCAAATAACGAAAAAATACGAATACACAAATCTCTCAAAATTACATATATAATTATACAAGAACCTACATAGATAAATATTGGACACGAGACCCCATACAACACCAAACACACACACACAGCCACGCAAACATACAGCCACACAAACACGATATGAATATAGAATAAATATATACATAAATACGAGTATATACATATATGAATAATGACAACTTTTTGCAATAACTTCGAATTCAATTCAATAAAAGTTTTAGAAGCTTGAGACAAGTCATGCAGCCTTTCCTTTTCTCTCATCTCATCAGATCGGATGTTTGGGACCCAGCAGTTCTGATATCCGGCGAATAGTCTCCTCCCGTTCCTGCCGCATAAGCTCCGTAACATCCTGAAGGAATACCTTCTGCATATCTCTCTGCTGCCTGAGAAACGCATCGTTCGATTGCTTGAGATACTCCACCAGCTTCTTCTGCCCCTCGTTCATCGACGTGAGCACCTCAAGGGGCGTGGGCTCGGCGGCGATCTCGAAGGCATCCTCGTAGTCGTCGCTCTCGCCGGCTGCCCTCAGCAGGTCACAGCTGGAGGTGGAACTCTCGCTGTCACTGTCCGAGAGGAATTCGGGGTCAGCAGCAGCGGGATCTGGAGCAGAGCGGGCTGGCTTTTGGGCGCTGTGACGCCCGAGCCCCTTGGGGGCGTTGATTAGTTCATCGAACAGCTGGAAGTGACGGGGCAGTATGCGGACATGGCTGAGGCCATCCTTTTTGGCCTCGCGATAGCGCTTGATGAGGAGGCGGAGCTTGTTGCGCAGCTGGTGAGGCGTTCGCTTGAAGGACTGCTTGGCCAGAATATTGGAGATGTGCACCAGGGTCTTGAAGTTGCGCTTCTTAGAGCCATCTAGGGCGCGGAAGAAGCCGTTCTCCTTGATAATCAGCAGAAAGGCATCCACTTCCTCGTCTGTCCAAAAGTGGGCTCCCCCACGCTGCGAAATGTCACCGTCCTCGTCGTCGCTGTCGTTGGATTCACTATCGCTGCCACTGCTTAATATGGGTTTCGCATCCACAGCTGCTAGCTCCTCTTCTGTGGGATCAAGTAGCTTTCGCATGGCTTCGAAATACTCGAAGGTGTCGCCTCCGTTCTTGGTCTTGTTGTACAGGCGTCTGAGCAGCTGGAATTTGATGCGCAGCTTGTCCGGGCCTTTATTGTATTGTCTTTTGGCCATTTCCTTGGAGAGCAGCTTGAAAACTTTTGCGTTCCGCTTGCGCAGCAGTGCCGCCTGCAGGCCCATGGATGTAATGAGGTCCAAGAAGACATCCACCTCGCCGTCCACCCACTTGCAGCGGACATTGCTGGGCATCGACGACGATGCATCTGCAAAGAAATCTCAATGTTACACACTTCCATTATCATTTGGAGCTGGATGACATACCGTCTCCATCAGTCACGATTTCTTCACCATAGCTGCTGAGATTGCTGTCAGTCTCTGGATACTTGTCCCGGCATCCTTGGAGAAGCTCGTGCAGTGCCTCAAAGTGCTGACACTGCTTGCCGCTAAGCATCGCCTGGAAATACTGCCGCCTCAAAACCCTGTACTTGATTCTCAGCTGGTCGGGAGTCTTGGCGGAGCCGAGCTGTTTTTCCATTTTCTTGGAGATCAGAATAAAGACCTCTGCGTTGCGCTTTCTCCCAAGCGGCTTTTGCAACTTCAACTGGTTGATTATGCTCAGGAAGTGTTCCACCTCCCCTAATGACCACTTTCCATTGTGCAGGTCCAGACTACCAGCCGGGCTCAGCAGGCGGGCGTACTTCTGCTCTGGCTCGTTGTCATCTTCATCCTTCTGCTCGAATGGAACGGAATGTTTGCTCATTTTTAAAATTTAAGTTACGTTTTTTTTTGTTTTCTCTGAATTCTCAAATTTCGGAATTGTTTACATTTTATTTAGTTTATTACATTTTACATGGCTATTCCACACGGTTAATACACATTTGCTACATAATGGGAGGAAAAAGAGGGTATGGACAGGAATGTAAAATGTAATGCCTGCAATGTAAAATCCACCTCATTTGCTTAACATACCATGAGTCACATTAAATTTATCTTCCTTCATCAGCTTTGAAATATACCTTGGCCTTAGGCTTTGGGCAACAGTCCATACCCTTTTTTATGGACCATTCAAAGACTCAGCAGCAGGGTGACCGTTTGACCCTCCGAAATACCGTAAATATACCGATATTTTTCTGCGGTATTTTTCAGTATTATGTGGCAATATAACAATTTTCTCAATAAGATCGATAGCAGGCGCGCGGATAAAATCGACGAAGGCGGCATTTCAATTTTCGCTCTTGACGGTTAAACAACGTCCCACGTCGACGTCGCTGTCATTGTGTCGGTTAACGGTTGTTCGCGCGGATCAGTGCTATCAGTGGCCCTGTGGCACTGCTCAAAATAATAGCTCTGCAAAGCGGAGTCTCTCCAACAATCCTACGGGAAGCAATCAAATCAAGGAGAGTCAAGTCAAGTTATCAAATCTGGGAGAGTGCAAGTTTGTTAACAACTATTACATTACACCACCAACAGCAAGAGCAGAGCTTTTGGCCTATACGAGGTGTATGTGTGTGTGTGTGTGCGCGTGTGAATGATCGCCCATTGCGCGTTGCGTTGGTATTAGCCACTACAGTTGGCCTCGCGCTCCGCTGTACCGCTCCGCCCCCGCACGACCTGTAAACACGTTAACTCAGCGCGATCGTTCGCGTTTCGCATTTATTTCGCGTTCGCGTTCCGTGAAATCGCTCGCTAAAAACAGATTTCGGCGAAACACTTGCCAGCGCAAAAAGAATAATATAATATAAAGTTTATCTTTATACACACTCGTAATATACGGTTCCGCGTATTCCGCGTATTCCGCTTATTCCGCCAGTGACAGAACTGGCGGCTGGTTCTGGCCGGGTTAAGTCTGGCTCTGAGATGGGGCACGTTACGCTTCACTAGCCGCAGCAGTCCCGCACACCGCAACCCCTTGCCCATTACGAATTATCGCGAAAAGTTTTGTAATCAAAAGTCTGAAATAAACAAAAACAGAACCAACCGAGCCCGAAGCGAATCGTGTGTTTGTACAGCTTATGAAAATAAGCAAAGCCAGCCCCAGGAAAACGGTGCCCCCAAACGGATACAACGGGGAATAGAAAGCGCCAAACCATGACCAGGAGTCCCGGATCGATGGGGATCGCAGTGCTGATCCTCTTCTGCCTGGCAGCTGCCGCATCGGCCTCGTCGGCCTCGTCGTCCAGCGATACCGGCTATGTGAAGCATGACAATATGAAAGGTAAGCAGTTTCCAGGTCCCTCCTTTTGTGCCAATTTTTGTGGTTCAGCGTCTCTACTAGATAGAACTGCAGAGATACTGTCAGATACGCATAGAGATACGGATACAGATACAGATACGGGGTACTGGCGAGGTGCATGATGATACATCATTCATGGGCGAGAATGCAGACAAAAGACGCCACAGACAAAGATTGCGGAGGGAGCACCAGCACCCAGCAGTGATAAAAGATATTCGATTCATTCAGATTTCAGGGGAGGAAATGCCTCGTATCTGTATCTCGCTCAATGCGATGCGTTTCTCAATCCCTCTGCACAGCACATCGTGCATCTGTTGCTGGCACTGAATCTGCCCTTTCGGCGACTGCGGGACACAACAACAGGTTTCTCGAGCAGCGCAGCGCAGCGCAGCGCAGCGTGATTTCCCAGTGTTCGCAAACAAGGTGTTTCCTTTCGTCTCGTCTTTCTGCCTTACCTTTTTTTCTACCTGTTCCTGGTCCAGGTAGCGGCGGCCCCAGTTCCCATTAAGCATCTCCTAAATATGAATGAAGATTGTCTGTGCCACTGCAGTATTTGGCTCGTTAAAAAGGACAACAACGTGGGGTAGAGGCAGAGGCAGAGGCACAGCACAGCACAGTGGAATGAAATGCACAAATGCTTATTCAAATTTTTCTCTATTACCCCATTTGCATGGACAACGGCAAATGCTTTGAGCGTTTTTCCCCCCCTGTGGCCCCCGCACTACCTTTTGCCTTTCCTCTTCTTCTGCTCCACACTCCCCTCCTTTGTTGGTGATGCAGAAACTGGTTTTGCTCTGGGCTTGCTGTTTCTGTATACCCTTTGATGAGGGTATGATGATTTTGTCGGAGCCCAGAAAGTATCCATATCTTTCAGAGATTTCTGACGTTGGAACCTTTTAAGGCCAATCATCAGCGGAATAAGCATTCCCCTAGGGTATCAAATACATCGCTTCGCCAAAACTCGGCTTCCTCTCTTGGTTTTTATGTGTCTTTGGCAAAAACAAACCCACATGCATGTCTATCCATCCCTGTCTCTCTCTCTCACACACACACACACACACACACTGATGGATAGTTTTTGCGTTTTTTGTTTTTGCCAAGACTTCCTACCACCTGCCCCCCGAGTGGCTCTCTTTTGTCTTTCTGCCAACTCTCGTACGCATCTGAACCGTGAGATTTTATTTCATGCAAAAAAGAAGCAGCCAAGAGGCCGAATGAAGGGGCAGGGGGCCGGGGGGCAGGGGGCAGCAGAAAAAAGTAGAAGTACTCTGTCGCTGCGCATGCGCAACACAGCGACAGTCAGTGGCTGACAGTGGAAGAGAGGGAGCGACCTGCAGGTGTTTTTTTTCTCCTTTGCTTAAACGTGGAACAAGGAAACCAGCTTATAAATTATAAGTTTTGGCTCGTTGCAGTTGCAGCCTTCTTAGCTGTGTGATATGGCCATGTCGGGCCCAGCTACCCTTTTCGGCAAAGGGTATATTGGTAAGGCATTGCCATAACCTGACATCCTACCCTATTTTTTAAGAGTACTGCTAGGGAGTCTTCGTAAGAGACCATCTGAAACATTCGCTGGATGCAGTTCTGTTGAATCTGGATTGATCAGGTTAAGATCATTTCCTCCACTCGTTGTGTCCACAATTGAAACCTGAAATGCCTTTCCGTTTGCCGTATCAACCCAACGCAAGAGTATCCCCCGTACGAGTATCGGCGTACGATAGTTGGCCAATTTCATCTGTTTTTCCACAACTGGTTCTGTCTCCGTCCTGTGGGAATTGTGCAATGTTAAATGTGGATGGGCCAAACATTAACATAAATAATGAGTCTGTAGGATTCATTCGTCGGAGCGGTAAACCTGGACATATTATGGCCAAGATAGGATCGAATCGACAGACATGGACATGGACATGACGAGAGTGGTTCAATTAAATGCGATATTTACTCTTTTCAAGCGGGGAGATCACAGTTGAGAGGCCCCGCCCCGGCTCCCACCGACAGTGACTGCGCTTTCAGCGATACGTGTTTTGGTTTGTATTTTTGGAAATGCAACAATCAACTTTGGCAGACCTTTGCCTGCGAGTGAATCACGACGGCAGCCGGCTTCTTATCGGAGCTGATAAGCCAAAGGTGGAGTAGAAGAAAACAATTACCCACCGCCGCACCGGGGAGACTATGATGAAATCCGATGACTACGCTGACTGCTCACTTACCCATAAAAGATACAGAAGAGCGAGGAACACGGACCTAAGAAAAAGAGCATTAGACAGAGTGCCGTTAAGTGGTGTCTGTGTCCGGGCCTGAGGAGGTTCCAGCGAAAAGGACTCGAGAGACAGGAACCGGCTAAGTGGCCGGCAAAGGATCGCGCGACACTGCCATTGTCCCGACGAGGCGAGTCGAGTGTCGGTCGTGTTTTTCAGGTCTTTTGCTTAAAAAAATATGACTGCGATTGGGTTCGGGGGGCAGGTAAGCCCTAAGGCCCTAGGACGCTAAGGCTCGCCCACGTCTCAGGTTCTGCTTTCTCCTCGACAGACCCAGGGACCATCCACAAGTATCGGGTTTCATAAAGGACATGCCTGGCCATATTTATGCTCCTGGCGGATGCACAAGCAGAAAGTTCCCATGTTCCCCATATGCGGCACAGAGTCCTTTTAGCTGGAAAATGTGAAATCTGGAAAACCACTTGAGGAGAGTTGCATGCTGCTTGCTGCATGCTGCATGCTTCACGCTGCACTCCTCATGTCTCTAATTATGAAGAGGGCAAGCGCCCACTTGAGAGCCACCAGCAGGTTCTGTTCTGGATCAGTATCTGAGCATCTCTGCATATTGCATCCGCCAGATACTTTCCATCTTCTTTTCATTTTCGTTTCTTTGTTTCATTTGGGGGATACTTGAGTACTTGGATTCTCACGTATGCGTATGCTAAGAGGCAGCGTGGGACGGAGAGGGGGGAGGGCACGCGGAGACCTGGTTGCAATCATAAATAATAATCAATTTCCTGTGCCCCGAAATGTTTCCCATCGCTCCAGCAGGAACTTTTCACTTCCATTTTCCCCGCTTGCCCCACCTCCCGGCCGCCCAGCTGGCGCATGCAACTGCAAGTTTTCCTTTTGGTGAGAAAATTGAAATAAAATCTGACAGCACAATGAGCAGAGGAGCAGAGAATGGGGCAGGCTGCCTGGGGCACAGGCGGGGCAGGGCAGCGGATCAGATGAGGGGATCCATTCTGATTGTTTAAAAATTATTTATTGTTGGCCGTTTGTTTTTTTTTTTGTTGATTTTATTACGATCGTATACGTGTATACGAGACGAGTGGGTATTTTCGTTTCGTTTGTCTGATTTGTTGAACATTTGTGCACATTTGTTTGCCTCATTTGCATTTGCCCCAGCCCAGCCCCTGCCTCTGCCCCTGCCCCTGCCCCTGCCTTTGCCGCAGCTGGGGCCGCCAATGGGGTGGCTAGACAGAGCTGCTTCGGCTCGTTCTCTCGGCCGAGGAGGTTAAGTGCTGGCCCAATCAACGGCAGCGCCAGCCTGCCCCCATTTGTTGCCCATGACGCATGCG